AAGTGCCAACAAAACCTCAGCTCAGGACATGAGGAGAGTAGACTTCAGGCTGCTCAGGGAATTATTAAGTAAGGTCCCCTGGGAAATGTTTTTGCAGGTGCTGGGATCCATCAGCGTTAAGTCACTCTTCAAACATCACCTCCCAAAGGCACAGGAGCAGGCAATTCCCAAATGTCAGAAATCAAGCAGTGGAGGCAGAAGGCTGACTTGGCTGAGCAAGGATCTTCTCTTGGAAATAAGACAAAAAAAGAAGGTGTATGCCCAGTGGAAGCAAGGTCAGGTGACACAGGAGGAATTCAGAGATGCTCCTTGCCACTGTAGGGAGAAAATTTGTGCAGCCAAAGCTCAGCTGGAGTTAAAGTTGGCCAGAAATGCAGGGAACAGTAAAAAGAGTTTTTTCAAATACATTGATGGCAATAGGCAGTACAGAAATATCATCAACCTGTTACAGGATGAGGATGGTCACCTCACAAACAGGGACAGAGACAAGGCAGAGGTGTTTAATGCTTCCTTTGCCTCTGTCTTCAACATGGATGATGGACCAAGGGAGTCTCAGTGCCCTTGAGCTGAAGGACCATGACTGTGAGAATGAGCAACTGCAGTCAACCTGAAATTGTGCAGGATCTGCTGCTCCAACTGGATTCCTACAAATTTATGGGACCTGATGGGATTCATCCAAGAATCCTCAAAGAACTAGCTGATATCCTTGCAAAGCCTCTCTCAATGATTTTTTGAGTGGTCCCAGGTAAAGTTGTGGAGAAGATTACTCTGGAAAGTATTGAAAAACTTCAGAAAGACAAGGCAGTCAGTGGTCACAGCCAGCACAACTTCATGAGAGGAAAGTCCTGCTTATCAGGTTTCCTTATCCTGGTTATCCTGGTTTCTAAGTCCTGCTTATCCTGGTTTCCTTTTATAATACGGTAACCCACCTAGTTGATCAAGGGAAACCAGTTGATGTAATCTTTTAGGTTTCAGTAAAGCTTTCAATAGTGTCACTCACAGTATCCTTCAGGACAAACTGTCCAGCACACAGCTGGGTAAACACACCGTGAAGTGGGTGAGCAATTGGCTCACTGGTTGACCACAGAGGGTAAGAGTGAATGGGGTAACATCAGACTGGTGACCTGTCACTAGTGGGGTTCCACAGGGCTCCATCTTGGGCCCTGTGCTCTTCAACACCTTCATAAATTACTTGGATGCAGGACTGGAAGGGATACTGAGCAAGTTTGGAGCTGACACAAAACTGGAAGGAGCTGTTGACTCCCTTGAAGGCAGGGAGGCCCTGCAGAGAGACCTTGACAAATTAGAGGACTGGGCAACCGCCAACCATATGAAATTCAACAAGAGAAAGTGCCAGATTCTGCACCTGGGATGGGGCAACCCTGGATGTTCATACAGACTGGGGAATGAGCTGCTGGAAAGCAGTGCACGGAAAGGGACATGGGGGTGCTGGATAATGGGAAGTTGAATATAAGTCAGCAGTGCCCTGGCAGCCAGGAGGGCCAACTGTGTCCTGGGGGGCATCAGGCAAAGCATTGCCAGCTGGTTGAGGGAGAGGATTGTCCTGCTCTGCTCTGCACTGGTGCAGCCTCACCTTGAATATTGTGTGCAGTTTTGGGTGCCACAATATAAGAAAGACATTAAGCTCTTAGAGAGCTTCCAAAGGAGAGCAACAAAGATGGTGAAGGGCCTTGAGGGGAAGCCAAGGAGGAGCGGCTGAGGCCACTTGGTCTGTTCAGCCTGGAGAAGAGAAGACTGAGGGGAGACCTCATTGCAGTCTACAACTTCCTCATGAGGGGAAGAGGAGGGCAGGCACTGATCTCTTCTCTGTGATGACCAGTGGCAGGTTGTGAGGGAATGGCCTGAAGTTGTTCTAGGTAGAACAGGGGAGTTTTAAGTCAGATATGAAAAGAGATTCTTCGCCCAGCGAGTGGTTGGGCACTGGAACAGGCTCCCCAGGGAAGTGGTCACAGCACCAAGCCTGAAAAGTTCAAGAAGCAAAGTTTGGACAATACCCTCAGGCACATGGTGTGATTTTTGGGGATGGTCCTGTGCAGGGGCAGGAATTGAACTTAATGATCCTTGTGGATCCCTTTCAACTCAGCATTTTCTGTGATTCTGTTAAATATTCCTACTTAAGTGTTTTGTGAGAATGCTTAGAGACTTTTTTCTTTTATTAGTAACTATTACACTATTAGTCACCAGACACAAAACATCCAATCCTATAGTTTTTCTAATCTGATTAATAAAGTGTCAGGGATATTTTCTCATCTTTTTCTGAATTTACAGTTACAAGTATTTGAAAAACTTGATCAGACACCACAACTCTCTGCTGACATTCTTGAGGAATGGGAGCATTGCAGTAGTTCCCAACAGAAGTTTTTTTAACTGCTTCTAGGAAATTTGCCATTGTAGAAATTGTGTTCATTTGAAATGTTTAATGAATTGCTTCACTGAAGTTGAGGCTATAGAAAATCAAGAGTGTATAATTTGAGGATGTTTTAAATGCTTTTAAGTCGTATAAAGTGTGTGCATTTTACGTATAATACATGTGTGCACATACATATGCAGAGGTAGGTATATGACTCCAGGCTCCATAATATTCTTTTATCCAACAGAAAATTGATTCTGAACAAAATAAAATAGTCATGTGCATTTACCAGTTTACTGTATGCACTTTTGCCGTGGGTGACCACGCTAATTAAAACTCATTTTTACCACAGCCTGAATGATTTTCTGAATAGGGTTATCTCTTGTGCTGTACACTATTATATATAAAAATATACTGTCTAACTGAAATCACTTTTGAATTCAAGTATTTTACAATAATTTAGGCTTCATAATCTTTGTTTACAATGACTTTGTAAAATATGAAGTGTTTCTGAGGAAAGAAATAGAGAAGTATCTGTTTGCAGTATATTACAAAGGTTTATACATCTGAGAATGTCTCAAAGATTATTGATGTTGGAAATTTTTAGGCAGAGGTTCTTATGACTACCAAATACAATTTTTTTTTTTTTCTTTAGCCTGAAACAGAGAAACAGAGATTTCCTGGCCTGGAACCACATTTGACTTTCTCTGTGAATCAATAATCCAGGACTTCTTTCTAGAGTTTCTTCAAGTTTAATGTTTGCATAGACTTATTTCTAGGCCCTTAGAGTAGGTTAGGTACATTAATTGAGGCTAGTGAATAAAAAACTACATACTAATAGTTTTTAATAATAAAAAATCCAAAGCTCTCAGTAGAGGGAAATTATGACTGTAGGACCAATGATTTTGTGTACATGTAGATTAAGAAAGGCAAAAAAATAATTGGAAATCTAGACCTGTGATTCAAGTGCTTCCTAAACTTAAACTAAAATATAATAACACTTCAGTAATAGCTGCTTTAAGTCCTACAGTGTTCTTGCTTCTCTTTTTTTTTTTTCATAATTTTCATTCTGAAAGTCCTAATTCACTGTCCACTGAGGTCAGCCACTGTTGGGAAGGTATCCTGTTTCCTACTTTTGGTAAGCCTTTTTAATCCAGTGGGATAAATGCTTTTAGTTTCCCAGAACATAATACAGTCCATGTCATGCTGAAGCACACACTGCATACCAGGACTGTTTCGAGTAGTTTAGCATATACTGTACTAGTCAGTTGCTGGCTTACAGTTGGAACTTTTGTGCGGTGGACTTCTTTACTGGGTCGTTTTTGTCTGTCATATTAAAATAATCGTACTGAGTCGTCGTTGTACTATCTATAAGAACAAAAATATTTAAATACGTTTTGTAGAAAAAATGGGGAAAAGATCAGTCTTATTGTTGCTTATGTTACTTCAAACTAACATATATAAACATATACTTCTGTATGCATATACAGCCTTTTCTGGTAGAGATTTTCTCTTACAGATTTTTTTTTTCCTGGTTCTATCAAATGAATTGATGAAAACATGAAAGTGCTTCAGGCTCATAACATCCACTCTTTTCTACTTACAGGTTTTTATAATAAATTCTTCAAATATATTTTTTCTTGAACCTGCAAATGAAATTAAAGCTCTGCTGGATGAACACACTGATATGTGTAAACGCATTCTTAATATCTACCGCCACATGGTAGTCCAAGTGACTATGGACAAGAAGACATGGTAAAATGTTAACACTTTTATCCAAGATTATTAGTTCACAAGATAAATGTGAAAATTTACTTGGTAGTAAACACAGTAGAGTGGTATTTGCTATATGAACCAGTTTCTCTAAATCAGTAAATATATGAACATCACAGACAACTTAGAAAAGGGGAGGAGGATGTTAGCTATTTTGTTAAAGCCTGTAGTTAGCTCCTAATTAATATGAGGCATCTTAGCCTCAGTGAAAAAAGGAGTAAGTGGGGATATATAAACTGCTATTAAGGAACTACTGATGATTTTTTCTGGGGCGTTTTGCTCATGGATCAAAGTGTTAAAATATGGAAACATATACGAAGCTTCACAGCCTTATTTAAAAATAAAAAATCCTCAAATAAGCTTGGATAACTGTTATGATCAGATGTGTGTTGTTCTTGACCTGTAATTGTGTAGAGGAGTCTGTGTACCGTGTAACTGTTTTATTCCTTTCCAGTGCTTAAGATGCCTAGCAGGTGCAAGAGACCCTGCTTTCAAAGCAATTTCTATTATTTCCCACTCCTTTAAATAGTTGCCTGTAATGAGGTAGTATATTGCCACCATTCTCCACTGCAAGGAAGCCACTAGCAAGGGAATTTCAAATGTCTGATTTACTCCATTTTCACTTTACTCAGCATTTAATCTGTCAATAGTATTTCCTGAACTCTGGGTGAGTAGAGTTGGCACTACATGTCATATGAAGCTTGTCTCCTCTTCTGTGGAGTCAGTTCAAGGAAATCTAGCAGTGGTAATAGAGACATATTCTACTAGATTATTTTGTTTCTCAGTTTTGCATCAATGTAAAGAAGTGACTCTAGACCATGATGGCGAAGATTGTACCACTCAAAATAATGGATGAAGTATGTGAATGATAATTCAACATAGCCAAATCCTGTAATTCATAGGGGGAAAAAAAGTAAAAGCTCAGATTGAAAATGTAATTAAAACTTTGCCTGTAATTTCAGGCCTTTCAAGGTGATGGCAATTGAATGACTTGGCAGAAGATGTTGGAGTGCAACAGGGATTCCTCACTTTTAAGTGAGAAGAGAAGATTGGAGTAATTTCTTTTGCAAGAACCAAGTTAGGCTGTTTGTCATCATTATATATATTCCTGCTTGGAGTGTGTTTGAGCAAATCAAACTTGGTTATTACCTTTAAAAAGATCCTACTATATACAGAAGTATAACAAAAGTGTAATGCTGTTTTGCAGGGAGCAGATGCTACTTGTGCTGCTTAGGGTTACTGAATCTGTGCTGAAAATACCACCCCAAACTTTCTTGCAGTATCAAGGAAGAAAAAACTCCACTTTAGCTGGAAGACTTGCAGGACCTCTTTTCCAGGCAAGTAAACATAAATTCAGCCTTAATTTAATTAATTCAGCCTTAATTTTCACTATTAGATACAACAACCACTGTTGGCTAGTTTTTCATCTTAAATCTTTGATATGTTACCCAGATAATGTGAATGGCATGGGTTAAAGAGGTAGTTACATTTGTTACTTTCTGTCTTACGTTTTAATGACACCATGACAACAGTTTTTGAGGTACTGTGAAATTAAAACATTGCTGTCATTTAGTTGAGTTGAAATAACTGACAAGGATCACTGGCAATATGTGCAGTTTTAGCCTGTTTCCATTGCAAAATTGGCTCAAGTCAGCACAAAATCTGTGCCATTCATGCCTAACCAATGGCTTTTTTTATTTCTTAGAGAATTCTGTAGTTCCTTACAGAAAGCTGTAGCAAATCCTTTCAACACTTGCAGAGTGTTGTTGTGGTGGGTGCTCTATTACTAGGATCTATAGAGACTCTAGGTTCTTTAGTAGAAAAGGAAAGAATATACAAGATAATGAGTCAAACCATTTGTTCCTGTATCTTAAGTTAGAACACTGTGTTCACATAACACTTGATAATTCATAAAAGTCTGTGTGTACTGGGGAAGAAAAGAATTTCAGGACTATGCAGAAATTTCTGTGGCAGTTAGAAGTTTCCTTTTAAGTGGTAACATTTGAATGTTGTCATGTTATGTTCACAACCCAACTTTTCTCTGTTCTTTTAGACTCTTATAGTGGCTTGGATCAAAGCAAATCTAAATGTGTACATTTCTCGAGAACTTTGGGATGACTTGCTGTCTGTAATGTCATCACTGACGTACTGGGAAGAGCTGGCCACTGAGTGGTCACTGACAATGGAGACACTAACTAAAGTATTAGCTAGAAACTTGTATAGCTTGGACCTCAGTGACCTGCCACTGGATAAATTAAGTGAGCAGAAGCAGAAAAAGCACAAAGGCAAAGGTAAGACAACACTCTATAGATATCATTTGAATTTGAGCTGGGGTAATGAGATGTTGGGCACAAGATAATTTTGGTCTCACCTTTATTTGTATACCTAATTAGGCATTTCTGTCACCTGCAATAACCCTGTTTCTTTGACATAAAGCTGCTTTTTATAACTACCACAGAATCCTCACATTGTGATTCATTTTTGCAGATAGGCACATATGGAATGTAGTTCTTAAAGGTGTGTTGAATTTAAACTAAAATGTTACACTCAACCTTTTATCAAAGCAATTGAATAGTTGAGTCCTGATCATAACTTCTTGAAAATAACAGTACTACTCATCTGGTGAAAATTAAGCCATTGCAAGCACAATTGGAATATTGACCCTGAAATGTTGTTACAAGGGGAAATGTAAGGTGAACATAAATTTGTTTTGTACTAATTGATCAGTAGTCCATGGTGAATACAGGTTTTATTAAAATGACCTTGTGGATTATTTAAGGGAAAGTATACTTTTAATAATCAATATGAGCAGTACCTGTTTTCAAACTGATTCCTAAACTGTGCAGAAAATACTCTGTAAGACATATTATGGGGAGAGGAGGTGGCTGTTTGCTTATTATGGTACAGTTCTGGAATTGGTAAGGGACAGGAAGTCTGTCTTTCTCACTACGGGGCTGGATTGAAAATTGAAAAACCTGACTTTTCTCAGTTCAGAGACTGACTTTTGCATGGGACCATTAGAAATCACTTCTGTCTTTGTTTCCACTTATGTAAAACTTCTGTAAGTATAATATTCTCCTTTAGAAAGTTCATTGTGATCTACTAGTGAGAGGCAGGATTATACTTAGAGTGAGTAAAAAAGATGAAGAAATATGTAATTTTTAGTCTGCATTTTATTTGTCTGTATTCTCATTGATTTGGTTCTCCAGTCAAACCTGAGGGAAGGTATAATATCTTAGGATTTGTCAGTGAGAAGTAATCTGTGTGGATTCCCTCTCATAAAGAGGATGTTCCTGTAGGCTGTATCTGCTAAAAACACTTCACATGCTTCTATGCTTCTCATCTTGAGCAGAGTCATTACTCACACTTCTGTTTTTCTAGTGTGTGGCAAGTGGATGAAAACACATTTCTCTGTAGTTGACCTTGAGAGGCTGTTTCAGACCATGCATTTTTTGTTTTCCTATACTGTACAGCTTTCTTCTTTTACTTGCTAAAGACACAGTTAAAAAATTAGTCTGATGTGTGATAAGAGTATTTGTAGTTATTTTAATATACACTTTAATAAGTATTTTGAATAATCTGTATCACTCATACTGAGCCACAAGACAAAACTTTCTTAGCCTTTGGTAATGGAATTCTATAGAAAGCCTCCATTGCTAAATGTGAGTTACAGAGTTAAGTGTAGCTTTGGAAGGAATAGATATAATACAAATTATGCTAAATTTCTTTCGCCCTGTTATTTTGCTAATAATAATGAACATGTTGGACTAGTGCTCACTGTCCAGGAAGTTGTTCTTTTAGTGATTGTAATTGTGTCATTTTGGTCATTTGCAAATATTCTTTACTTCACTTCTGGTTTTTTACATACTATTGTTTTTGTTAGATCCATATGAGCTTTATTTACTTAATATAAATTTCAAATATGAATTTTTTCCATCTTACTATAGTATTTTTTCTCAATTCCCAAAGAGCTGTTTTTTCTGAACCCATCGTCCCATTTTTTTGCTTTTGCATTTTGTGTAAAAATATTTTATCATAATTATTTTATGTTCCTCAATGTCACAAAATTATTCAGATAAACCTCCACAATATTAATGTTTTGGAATGTGTGATTTTATGTGTCTTATCTAGTAGGAATAGCAAAGGAAATGTTATGTATTTTATCTGACTACAGCCTTTGTAGACTCTCTTTTTGGAAAAGAAAATTACAGTAGTTTGATAGAACCAACACTTCTGAAGAAGTTTGAGTATCCCTCAGCGTTAGTGCTGGCTGAGCTTTTGAAATCATGCTTGCATTGGTAACTTGATTTATTCCATCCAGCTTTAAAACTCTTTGAAAGAATACAACTGCAATTATCTGGTGATATCAGAATAGAAGTGAATAGATTTGCAATTCTGTTTTTGCAGGAGTTGGGCACGAATTCCCGAAGTCTTCTGTCGATAAGTCCTTTTCTAGAGGCTGGAGCCGTGATCAGCCTGGACAAGCACCAATGAGACAACGCAGTGCTACAACCACTGGCTCTCCAGGAACAGAAAAGGCAAGAAGCATAGTACGGCAGAAAACAGTTGGTAAGTATCTCTAAGAGCTGATAGAAGTGACATTTGAGAAAGGGTAAGGAATTAATAACTGACTTCTGTAGCAGTGTGGATAACTTCACAAAGGTATACTATCTGTAATAATTTACACATTAGTTAAATGTGTAAATTATGCAGCTTGATGTGCTTTGAGGATAACTGAATAACTTGTGGTTATTAGAATTAGAGTTACTGCAAATGAAAATAATACATTTGATATGTTAATTCTTAATGAGTTTGATCACATGCCTAAGCTGGACTGGAAAAGAATACCATTGTGTATGTATGAAGGAGAAAAAAGCTGGAATGGTTTGAGCAATGGTGTGGATAGGTGGGTAAGAGAAGGTTTCTTAAGTGTGTTTTCAGAAACTACACAAGATGGGTTGAGTATTTTCAAAGTGTTCAAAGGAAAGCATGAAAAGTAGGTGTATGTCTGCATAGTTCATAAGATATGCCGTTTTTTAGTATGCTCTGCATATTGCAGTAATGAAAAGATTGACATGGATATGTGCAATTCTCCATTTCTGAAATCATCTCTTTCTCAATTCTATTACTTGCAGATACTCTTTACTGTGTTAGAAATGAGTGATGCTGAGCAATGCTTTAGGTGAACTCCTCAAAAGAAGTATCATTTATGTTCATATGGTTTGCTTAGACTAAGTTAACACAAACCGGACTATAAATTTCTTTATGCTGTTGTCTCATCTTGATGATCTCAGTGCTATTCCTTATGTGAAGGAAGATTGAGCTGATTTTAATTTTTTATTTAAAATAAGAACCTTTTAAGGAATATCTCTTTTTTTACCATCTCTATAGTAGTAGTGGCTTCAGTCATTGTGTGTTGTTGCTTCAATGATACTTCTTGGAAGTAGGTGCATTCTGACACAGTTTTAGAAACTTGGGATGCATATTGGCCATTCAATATATAATTGTGCTACCTGTTCAGAAATGAACATTTTCTTTCTTTTTCCAAAAATATTTGCAATTATTTTTTTAAGTCACAGATGTTGTTTAGAGAAAGTTTTTATTTGAATATTCTTCAAAATTCTTCATTTTAAAAATTTATTCTCTCCTAAGGCTCTTGTTGATGTGGGAGAATTAATTGTCCTGTAAGCCGTACAGAAATGAGAAAAAATGAAGTAATTACTCCAAAATTTGCTGTCTTTTTTGCACGTTCAAATGCTACACAGCTTTTCCTGTATCTCATGCTGACAGTACCTAGCTTTCCTCATGGATTACAGATACTTTAAATGTAATTTCTCCTTCTGTGTAGATTGTCTGTGATTAACAGTTATTAGGGTTTTGTTTTAAGTCTTAATTTCTTAACAAGGTAAAGCTCATGTTAAAATTTCTTCTTCACAAAATTTTAATGTTTCAGATATTCTGTCAGAAGGTTATGTTGTTTGGTCAATTTATTAATGATTTTGTTTTTCTGCTATTTGAAGTATGGCTACTTATATGGTGTTAGCCTTAAAATTACTGGAACTTATCCTAATTAAGCTATATATTCACCTGGTTAGCAGCAACCTAATCTGATTTTAGTTTCACTGGTCTTTAGCTTCAATGGTTTTGTTCCTTTTCTCCAGTAGTCTTACATATCTGATATTCATGAGCCAACTTTGTATTACTGCAGCCAGTTAAAATTTCAACTCTATTCATATTGAAGAATACCATCTGTGGACAAGCATCCCAGAACTGCTAGGGTGATTTTAAAAGATGAAAAACCCACAGGGAATTTCCAGAACCAGAATCCCAAACTCTTCTGTTTTTTTAAATATTAATGAAGAAAATGTTGCAAAATGTTACATCTGTCTTAAATGCCTGCAAACTGTTGTTTGTTATTGCCTCTCAGGTCTGCAAAGAGAGCTGTTCAGATGCTTCTTAATCTGTTCCAGTTAATGCAGAGTCACATAATAAAAAAATAGTCACAAAAAGAAAAATCTTTGATAGAGCATTTTGCTGGTCAGATCTTCTTCAGTTTAGCACTAGTTCCACAAATTAAGGCTGTAATTGAGTCAGACCTTAAATATGTTGCATGATATCTGATATGTATTACATTCCCTTTGATTGTGAGTAATATATACTCTTTATATCTGAGTAGGGGGGATGTGCATGTTGAGTATTTTATGGTAAGAAAAAGCTGGGGTTTCTTTTTCATCTGTTTTATGTTGTACACATTTCTGTGTACATCTGTGCACCTCTATTTTTTGAGCCATCATCATGCCAGCACACATTTATTGCTGCACCAAATATGTGTGTGTGCGTGTTACTCAAATAAAAATCACAGCTTTTCTGATATGCAGTGTGTACATTTTTAGCCTGAACTTATGTAAAGTAATTTTTGGAAAAGGGCCTTTAAACATAGTATGCATATGGGTTGAAAAATCTTCTATAAGGCTAGATTTTTCACTTAGGCAACAGGTTCTAATCCTCTGAAATATTGTATCAAAAAGAATTTACCATCTTATTGTTCTGCTTTTGCTTATAGACAACAGTGGAAAGTTATAAATTGTCGAATATATAGTCCACATTCTGATATTGTCTGCCTCTGCTTTAGTACTAATTTGAATGTAATATGGTGGAAAACATCCAGTCAAATGGGTGTTCAAGAGGAACACTGTATGTTAAGATTTATAATCAGCACAGTATCCAATTTCAAAAGCTTGATTTATTTATAATCATTTAGGTTGGAAAAGACCCTTAATATTTACTATGTAGTTTTTTTCTCTTGTATGCATTCATTTTAAGATTCACAGAGATGAACCTACCCAGGTTATCTACATGTTAGTAGCAATTCTTTAACCTGTTTTAGAAGTGTGATGTGCTCGGCTTTCACTACACTCCATTCAAGTACATTTGATTCCCATGCAGATTAGGTGCACTGAGATTCTAAGTCTTCATTCCATGGTTTTTTTGAAAATATATATAGAGAGGGAGAGAAAAGTTCAGATATTGCACTGACAATATTTATGTAAGATGCACTGAAGTTTATCAGCAATAATTTTAACACAAGCTAACAGATTTGCAACAGTTTGAAAAGGAAACTGCTTGAAACAATGACTGTTTCTTTTTGAAGAACTTCCAGTGTACTTTGAAGTTGAATGCAGTATCAGTTCTTGCTCTGACAGAGGAAAACAAGTGTCATAAAGGTTTATTTTAAATCTATTAGTAAAGCTACAGATATAACCTTGATTGCGATACCACAATTCTTATGTAAGTTTTCTGTTCTGTAGGAATGGTGGCAGGATGTGAAATATGAGAAGGTGATTTAACATCAGTTTAGTAAGATTTATCCAGTATCAATTAAAAGCCAGGCCCTATGGATGAGAACCAACTTACTGCTTTTTGTTGTCAAACCATTTCGCTTCAGTCATTTCACTTTTAATGTAGAACTATAACAAGTTTTATTGGAAATTTCTCCACACAGAACTGATAATTTTCTCCCTATGCTTTTGAATCTCTTTTGGAGAACATGAATTCAAGAGTATGGGTGTATGTAAAATACAGAGAGACATTTTGAGGAGAAAATCAAAGGAAACTAGAAAAATGCAGATGTAGTGTAAGTTACTTTTTCTGTTAAAAAAAATCAAGTTCTGAGTGCTTGTGAAGCAACTTTGATTTTTCAACCCCTGATGCAGTGGGAAAAAGTGTTAATTAGCTTCTTGATTTGGAATGCAAAATCGCTGTAATTGTCATAATAAAGGCATTGTTGCTGCTTTACATAAAAGTTGAAAATTCAGAATGTCTTATGTGTCCACTGATTTTTTTCTTTCTTACAGCTCTGCCAATATCTGCCGTGCTGAAATGTTTTAATTTTTGAATTTTCTTCCTTTTTATCTTTGTTTTCTCTGTTGCTGCTTTTTCTGTGACACAAGCCTTTCATTATAGTCACTCTTCTTTTTTCCTTCCCCACTTCTTTCTTTTCCTTTTTAAAGCCATGAGAAGCCGATCCATTGGTGAATGTGCTCTGCCATCGGCCTATATACGCAGTGCTAAAAGTGCTCCTGTTCTGATCCATACTTCCAAACCCTTCTTGCCTGATATTGTTCTCACTCCCCTTTCTGATGAGCTTTCAGGTAGTGCCACCTCTGCTAATTTCTGCACCCCCTTTATCACTTTTTTAAACCTTCTGCTTTCAAATTCTGCTAAATCATTAAATTTTTTCAAAGTAAAAATACTCTGGGGATGGTGGGAGAGGGGAAGAGATTAAGAATTAATATTTTGAGTTATGTAAGATGCCATGCTATTTTACAATTCATTCTGGAACTGTTAGAAGTTAGTGCTGTGCCAATGTTTACGATCATAAAAGTGAAAATTAGAAAAATATCTTCGCTTTTTCAATTTATTGTTAAGCAGCAATATAGCGTCTGTCTACCAGAGAGTACAGCTAGTCTAAAATTTTTATTTGTGATGAGTGAGGGAGGGAAAGGAAGAACCTAATTTTACTTTGATTTGCCATTTACATCTTTCTCTGTAAATTTTTGAATTCAGTGTCATAGATGTTGTGTGAACACTTTAGCTCCCAAGAAAAAAGAATGAAGTGTATGGTATATGAAGTATCATATAATATGCCTTAGAGTATGACTGTTTTTCATTAACATATAAAAACATTTTAAAAAATCTGTAGTTCGGAATTCTCGAGTGCTGTGTTTTGATGTTATTTTCCTAATGATCCATTTTTTAGAACTGTGGTTTTCCTCAACATTCTGTTTGGTCCAGCAAGGTAGTTGACTACAAGTCTGACAGTAGCTTATCTTGGATAATTTTCTCTGAACGGATAGGTTCAGGAATTAGAATCAGCACAGATTTAAAAAATGCATGTTTAGAGATAATGTTGTTTTTCCAGCTATTGCATAGATATAAATTAGTAGCGTGTTAAGGCTGACATTCATGTTATGCCTATGTCCCACCAAAACGAAAGCACAGTGGGAGGACTATATATGTATAGACAAAACTGTGTACAAATAGAAGCACTTAATGGCAATAGTGGTGTTATGGGCATTTTTTTTCTTTTCTGTCTCTCCTGTCTGCCTTTGTTACCCAAAAAGTTCCAAGAACTGTATCTTCATAATTGTATTTTGTCATTTGTCACAAAATTCTTGTAGTGAAGTAGAAATTTGGTGCCTTAGTGTTCAGTCTGAAAACATAAATGGAGAATCAGGAAAGTTCAAGGTACCCACTCTACAGAGACCGGGTTTTCCCAATGTACAATTACAAAGTAAGTTTAATAAACTACCAATTATATGTAGTAAATTAATAAATGTATGAGTGCAAAGAGTATCTTCTCTGAGCTATAAATGATTAGAACTTAGAAGATAGAGATTTTCATAGGAACGATACATGAACAACCTGTTAGAAAATACATCTTACCTGGCCGTGGCATTGTTGGAAATTGTCAATTCTTAAGGAAGCACCTGCAGAAGGGAGTTACTCATTATTTTGTCACATAATCAGATACTTAATTATTCTGTCTTAAAGAAGGCAAAAGTGCTGTTGTAGACAGTTTCATCATCTATGTTTCGGAAAAGTCCTGGCTTGCATCTTACTTCTAATGTGTCCCAAACCTTATGACTCTCTTGATGTTATCCTTTCTGTTGATACTCATCCAATACAAAACTGCATGACCAATGTAATTCTTAAAAGTAAAGTGATGTTACAGACCTTTGCACTTCAAACACAGAAAAGGTCCTATGCCCTTCCTGGTTTTTGTGGCTTCTCAAACAGATGCATGTTGCAGCAACTTCATGATGTACTCAAGAATCTTGAACATTGCCAGAAAACTAAAAAGCTCTAGTGAAGAAAAGCAAGCCATTAGAGTGTTGAAGGGGAAGTAGCAGAGTGAAGGATACACTGTCCACTGGATCAGAGTGCACTTTGCTCTTTTAATTTTCTGCATTTTTAATTGTGCTCTCTATCTTTTCTTTTTTTTTTTTTCACATGAAGCTTTATCATTTTCCTTGCAGTAAATGTTATTTTCTGAGGGCCTTCTGTTTCCAGAGGTACAGTATGTAATTTAGGAAGTAATCAAATTGCTTCTACCATAAGTGTGTTCTAGGTGATGAATGATACGGCTCTGACAGCCCTTTGTCTTATTTCATGATTCTATAAATATCCCTTTTATCCAAAATGTCTTTACAATCCAACACAACTTGAAGGAGAGAACATTTCAACTTACTCCAAAATAATAGAATTCCTAATATTAGGTTTCTGGAAGTAACTCCTTTTTAGCTGTGAAACTCCTCAACGTGGACTCACTGAACACTGGTAAATCTGGACAGGTAGTCCAACAAAAAGCATTTATGCCCAAACCTTTACTTTTTGTACAGTATATTAATTTTCAAGATTTTGTATGGCAGAACACCTCACTTAACTATACTTTGTTATTTATTGAGACATAATATTTCTTCTTGAAGATCAGTCAGTAGATTGACAAAATATTTTGCAAAAGCTCAATATTGACTTCCAGTCATCTAGCATCATACAGAATGCTTTTCCTAAGACTGTATTTCCTTCGTGTAGTTTCTAAGTTATGCTGTATTTCCATGTGCAGAATATTTGCAACTTTTCAAATAATATCCAGAAAGTGGAAGTGATTTATACCTTAAGGTATTTAGTTATTAAAGTGATTTGTATAGTGTATTTGTTGCAAATCTGCAATGTTTCTAAAGAGAATTTTTCCTTTAGCCTGTTAGAATCATAACAAATCCAGTCTTACACTTTGATAAGGTAAAATAACCATTTGTTCTGGAACTGTTGAGGATTTTCATTAACATGAAAGGGAGATGCGTATTATGCCTTTACAACCTTGCTCCCAAAGCAGTAAGTAATCATTAAGATGAAATATAAAGAAATCATAATTGTAATGTTAGTATACCTGTAGTTATTCTTTATTCCTAGAAACTCACAGAATGTGTTCTTATAAAAAAAAAAAAAATGAAAGCTGAGAACCAAAACATGTTATTTTTTCTCTACTTCCTGAACTAACTTTTCATGATGAAATATAAACCTCTCCCAGCATAATATGGGAATATTCTATTAGTACTCATGCTATCTTGTCAGAATACGTCTCTCCATGAGTTTGTATTTTAGCTTATTCATCTCCCACCTGATGCTGAAAAGCTACCTTCTTTTTCTGCCTTCTAGCAGAAAAAAAGGAGAGGTAAGGTTGATTTAAGCAAAGTTATGACTGGATGAGATTGGCCAGGTCTACCAATTTCAACTCTTCCTCATTGTAACATATAAGGAGCCAGGGCAGTATTTCCATTAAGTGCACACAGGGTGTCAGGTACACAGCCTTCTGGCACACAATTGCAATGTACAAACTCCTAAAGAGCTTATGGTGTCCCAATTTGACTGCATAGTTGCATGTAATAGTGAGCCCTGATTGTGAAGGAGCAGTTTGTTTGGGTTTTTAAATATTGTCTGTGTTTTCAGTGCTGGTATTGCAATAACATTGTTCATTTCCTTTGTTTCTTCCTCAGTTCTACAAAAAAGAAATCTCTATTGGCACAGCCACATGTTTGAAAACCTGTACTTCTATGTGCTAGTCCTGCATATACAAGCACCTAAAATTAATTCTGGATCAACACTGAAATAAATCTAGCTGAATTTATTTCAGTGTGTGGAGTTGCTTTGTGTGCATTGTGACTTCTCTGTCCAGTTATTTTTAACATTGTAGAAAGTCATGATTACTTCACGCAAGCAAGCATGTGATTCCTAGGCTGTTGCTCTAGATAAGGTTCAGTTTATAATAGGAATGAAATATGCATACTGAGGGCTCAAGATGAGATTTGTATATCACAGTTGCAGATATTAATCTCATATATATAATGCCATACATATTTTTGACTGAAGCTTGTAGTCCTTTCTTTACAGCTGTAAGAAGCAGCTTGAGACTATGTGAGCACAACCTGTGTTAATCTCTGCCTAAGTCAACAGAGAGTTTGAAATAACAGTTCCAGCTAGAGGGAGACACCATTTGTTTTAGAGGGCGTTCATTCATGTAGTTAGTAATAAGTTGAACAAGAACAATGATGAGAAATGTGTTGCTTATCAAAGCTGAAGAGAAAAAGGACAATAGATTGTGTTGTATTTGATGATTTTTCAGTTCATGTTTATTTTCTGAGATACGTTGGATGTCTCTTCCCTTTTTTCCAACATAGATCTCTCAGTTTCCTGTCTAATAGCTTCTTTACAATTCGGTAAACTTTGTATGAGGACAGACTTTAATTTTCAAATTTTAACTTCTCTGAAAAACTGAGCATGGAAATACTTTTTTTCCTCTTCTTGGAACACATATGTTTAGTTAAGTACAGATATATCTCATTCCTCTGGTTTATATGCTTTGCTCAGAAGCAAAATATGAGGACATTCAGCTCCAGCTCGAATGTTCTCAGAAAAGTGTGAGCACTTCAAAACAGGTTTTTAAGATTATAAATATTCAATATTACTGAAATATATAAAGCCACAAAGTAATAATTTGAAACATTTTTGTAATATTTATAGATAATATTTAGTAATAATAGAAATATTTTAAAATATAATTATAAAAATTACTTTATTTTGGCTGTAACACATCAAAGTTAGGGGAGAGAGAAGGGATTAAATTTTGTTCTGATACTAAGTAAATTCACCACTGCAGTCCTGAAGTTAAACCCTCTAGATAGAACAATAAGGTAAGTCTGTTTATTGTGGCAAATAACTCTTGCTGGTGTTCATTTAAGCTCTTTACTGTTGTTCCTGACTTTGAAAGTGTATCTACAACTTTTTAAGTAGCAGGTAGTAACATTAATCTTCAGAATAAAGAATTCTATCAGAAGGAAACCAACAGAAAACAGAAACAAAAACCAGCTGTTTTTACCTTGCTGTTCAAGTACTTATCTCATAAAAAGACTGCAAGGAATAGCATGAAATCTTATAGTTAGCTGAATTGTCTGTAGGAGATATTTAGCCTTGCCTGCTCTGGTGATTTGATAGTATATAGTGTTTCTGTAACACATCAGGAACTCTGAAGAGGTGTCTGAAGTTTCTTTATGTTTGATGCAAAGTGAGCTGAAGATACTTCTGCACAATTCCTAGGTGATCCATGTTTGAATTGTGGCTTTCATTACAGTTAACTATGATTTGTACCCATACTAACATATTAGGAGTCTCAACAGAGTCAAGGAATCACTAATTTAAGCGGTCATAACATATTCTGGTCTTTTCATAAACAAAAGTGGGTTTACTCTAATGTTAACTGTTGTGAGGCTGCAGGATGTTTTTCTGTATCAAAGTCCTTAATTCTTTAATTCTCATGTATGTTAAATTTGCTGAGTCAAACTGGAAGAAGAGGGGAAGGTAAACCTTCATTAAGTATTTAGTTTCACATTTTGAAGGTGAGAGAGAAAATGTCCTTCTAAGGAAAAGGGGTATATCTTTAAATTGTCTGTTATCTCTAGTCATCTCCTCTGTATAGTCAGCTCTTTTTTGTCATTTAAAATATTTAGTCTTAGGTATACACTAAATTCCATATCCCATAATATTTATAGTTATAGTATTCTTTCTAAAATTTCAGTAGTTTATACATATTCCTACAAGTAATTAAAAGTAATAGTTTACCACTTCAGTAGACAATCCTAAGTTTCAAAAAAACTTGCTTGTTCTCTTTGGAGTTGCCCATTTTTCTGAAGATGTAAATTCCACAAATGGAGTACTACTGTTAAGCTAATTTGTAACCATTTCCTCAGCAAGCTGGAATAAGATTGGTTGAATTATTGAACTTATTGGCACAGCTCTAGCTTTAACTGTATTTCCAAACGTTCCATGATGTCACTGTTTGTTTTCATGCATGTTAACATTTAAAACTGTGTTCTGATGGTCTAACTCATTTATATTACATTCTGTACTGGATATTATGTGCGTGTGTTTTTAACACTCTAGTATTGGAAAAAATATTTTTATTGTATCTAAGAAAACAAGGCTTTGGACTTTACTGGCTTTTAAAGTCATGTAATGATGATGTAGTGGGAAATATATATTGTCTCTGTATGTAAATTTTTGTGCATGTTACATATACTTTTTTCTACAGACATTGACGATGCTCAAATTCTTCCACGTCCACCTCGAGTCAGACATTTTTCACAGAGTGAGGATGCTCCAAGTGAAGTTTTTGGTGCGTTAAATGAGGAACAACCACTGCCACGAAGCAGCAGCACCTCTGACATCCTGGAACCATTCGCAGTTGAACGAGCGAAAGGTGCAGTTCCTGTCATTGACAGTTCATCCCATCATGCTCCAAGCTTACAGAGTTCCACTGAGACCTCTTCAATGCATAGATCCACTGAAAGCCATATCACTGATACAAATAGCAGAGAGTCCTCCTTGGAAGTTGGGGATAGTATTTATGACCATCTTTGTCATTTAATAGGGCCGGTAGAATTTGCAAACTCTGCCTTTGAACAAAGCCAATATGTTGACCTTGAAGGTGAAGATGATCTCCTTTCCTCTCTGAGAGAATATCTTAAAGAAAAAGAAGAACTTTGCGGTAACTTTGAGATAGATAAATGTAAGGCTTCTGCTCATGACGTTGATACATCAGTAAATAGGGATGATAGATTACCACTGGATGGATTAGAAAATAGAGATCAGACTGGGCAATGCACAAATAGCATCACTGTTACAGAAAGAGACGATAACACGGAGCTGCACCTAGAACAAAACCCAAGTGGCTTTATAAGTAATATTGCACCTACTCAAGTAGACTTCTTTACGGGAAATCAAGCGCTCAATAAAGCCAGACAGTTAGATATTAATAAACACTGTGAAAGCATATTTGATCATGGGTCAAGTAGTCCTAGCAGCAAAGAAGGGAAGAGATGCTTGTATAGGCAAGCAGCCACTGAAGCTGATGTAGATTTAGTTGTGGAAGCAGCAGTAGGTGAAAAGCATAAAAGTGCCCAGTTTAGTGAAAAGCTGACCAACTCACGTATTATCCATGCAAAGAAAATTCTTTCTAAAGCACAAGTTGACCCTCAAATGCCTTACATCACAGGCACAAGCAAACTGGCACCAACTAAAAGAAGTATATCTGAAACTGTAACTCATAGGGCCAAAATCATGAAAATAACAACTAAAAAAAGAAATAGTGTTCATGTTACTTTTAGGCCATCTACAGAATCGGTTCAATTTTACAATCCTCTTGAGAGCAAAGAGGCTGCTTGGAAAGCAAGACTTCGTAAACTCGGTGGCTTCAGTAGTAGCAGTAGTAGTAGCAGCAACAGCAGTACCAGTACAAGCACCAGCTCATCAAGTGCCACAGAGCTGATTAGACCTGGAATATATAGACATCTAGATGCAATCAATGCTGCATCATCTGGCAGCAAGCAAATTAAGGAATCTACAGAAACTCAAGCAGCTGTGTTGCAGAAAGAAGGTACTGCAGTTAGTCAGTTCCATAATCGTAGTGCCTTTAGGGCACCAGGTCAGGAGTCGGCACAACAGCAGGGCTCCCTGGGTGGTGTTTATAAAACTGTTGTACATGCTCTTTCGAAGCCGAAGGCAAATGTTTCCCCACAGAGGCAGAACAGAATGCCAGCAGAGGCTCCACTGAGGGATCTGTACAGTCATGTAATGGGCTATTTTGGAAGGAAAGCTGCAGGTGAGCACTAACAGTGTGCAGAGCGCAAAAGGAGAAAGGCAACACCAGTTTGGCTTAATGCAACTGAAGCAAGCTCTGATAAGCAATCAAAAGGCTTTGGGATGATCACTGCTTTCCCTGTTTGGTTATGCATGCGCCTACAGCCAGCTGATTTTTCTCCCAGCATAAGTTACATTTACATACTTTAAGTTACTAATTTTTCTTTTCAAGATATTTAGTTGAACCTCTTTGCTGCTGAAGACCATCAGGTTAGGGAAGAGGAAGAGACAGTAAATGACCTTAAAAAGGATTAAGCCTTGAGACTTCTGAATTTTCATCTACCATGCAGAACCTTAAAATTCAGCCTACTGTCTGATTGGCATATACATATTTTATCAGAATGTACTATTCTACACTGAGTGTAGTTTGCATATCAGAAGGACCTGGCTCTCGACCAGCTGGGTTGAAATGATTGTATTTCTGGTTCATTTAGTGTGTTTTCTTCTTCCTCCCCATCCTCTTCCTCCTTTTCCTCCTCCAAAACAAAACAAAAAAAGCCCCTCAAATTTACATTTGGAGGTCAGTTTAGATAATTTCTAAAAAATAGTGTGAGACAGCAGTCTGCTATTAGTGGAATGATTTCATTACAACCATTCCCTGAGTCTGATCATAAGGTTTTGTTCGAGTCTTTTTCAAAACATGACATAGGCCTTCCTACATTCATTCATCAAAATGGCTGCAGGTACATCTTGGCAACATCTTGCATTGCTTTCTTTTTCTCTTAGAATCATGGATGTTCATGAAGGTCTCGTGATAGTCTCTCCTGTTAACTGTGAGACCTCTGTGGATTGATCAAAAACGAAGGCTATCGCTCTAATATCCATTGTCTTAGTTCACACCACCTTAAATGAACAATAAATTAACTTTCAGCAGTAATGCAGGTTTTCTTTTTTTCCCATTGTTATGCTGGCATGATTTAACAGAGGATTCTGCAATGCCTCCTGCATTGAGATGTTAATGCCACCTGAGGGCAGTCTCTGTAAGCACAGCACCCGAGCGCGTTACTGTCATGGGTCTCACTAAAAGGATTTGCTGCTCTGCCGAATCTGTACTTCTGAAAAGGAGATATCTAGGAAACACCAATTTTAGAAGTACCTATTATTTGAAATTTGTAACATTTAACAGAGCCTCCTTGTTAGAATAAACTACACCGTAGTCTAAAGAGAGATGACATTGAGAGAAAAATTATTATAAAAAGAACGTGAACTGGAATAACTTGAAGACTTTAAAGGTGAATATCATGAAGTCAGGTGTAACAGCCACAGTTAAATATGAACAGTATAGTTATATCAAAAATTTAACACTGATAAATGAGTGAACTTAATTAATTGTTCATAACCATTGATCATTCAGTGTTAGAATTTTCATTCCACCTACTAGCATGTAATTTGATTATGTAACGTTTTCTTTGTACAATTTATACTAACTATATACAGTGCCACATTGACATTTGTCATTAGTATATATTACAACCTAGTTTACTTTTTCCACTACGTTGCTTTTCATTAGGAATGCAATGAAGAAGAAGCCTGTAGGAATCATATACATTTTTTAGGATTTGTTACTTGTGATATGGAGGAAGAACATACGCTTTATCCTTAAAGCAAGCATTAACAACTTTGAGTAGTGCTTACCTATAAGCTTCCTGCTCTTGAAGGTGGAAGTGGAAATCAACTAACCCCTGCTTAGTGGGAAGAAGAAGCCGTACTAATTCTGAAAGTAGAGTCTGCTTTAAAGAGGGACATTCTTAAAATGCATGTCTGGCCATTTTGATTTTTTTAATTTCTGTTAATTAGCAGGTTTTTTCATTAGTTACATTTTGTGTTGAAAATGCCTTGATGCAGTCTTTGCTATAAATGGTTGTTCATTTGCTTTTAGCTAATAGAGAGGACATGAGTCAAAAGCTGCACCCTATTGATAGTGATATTGGCAGTAGCAATACAAATGTTCCTGACCTCATGGATGAATTTATAGCTGAGAGACTCCGCAGTGGTAGTGCACTGGTAAGCCTTTAAATTCGCTACTTTTCAATACTTAAGTCTGCATATATATGTGAACTTGCCAATGCCATTATAAATCAGTTCACTAAAATGTATTTCTTTAGCTGTTATGAATCAGAATTAAGAATATTGCTTAATTATTCCTTGTCTTTGAGATAGATTCCTGCCATTTTTTACCATTTATGTTTTCATGTCTGTTAAATCTTCACTGTGAAACCAATGCAGAAGTTACTGCCAGGTGAATACTCTCATTGAATTAAGCAACCTTAATTGCACCTGTAAAGATCTCTGTACATGGATATTTTCAGAGTAATAGTTTCTATGTAAATTTGCAGTCCTCAGAGTGGTATGGAGTTAAGTATCAGGCTGTAGTACAGTACTGTTCTCTACAGGTATAGTCAATGCAACTGACTAAAAAAACTGGTCCAGTATATGTGTTTTCCTTTTTTTTTTTTTTTTAATTTCACTTCCAAGTGTTGAATAATTTCTTGTAAGTAGTGTGCTGGCAGTCAACCCACCTTTTCATATGCTTTCTTCCTGCGCTTTTCCAGAAGTGTCATGTTGTTTGGAATGGCATTCATAATGGGAAATTTTAATCAATTTTAAGTCAAGAATTTCTGGTTACTGTTGAATGCTTACAGATTGAGACAACTGAGCTGAAGAGATAAGTGCTTATTAACTAACAACAAAAGAAAAATTAAAACAAAAGTTGCAAATGATGAACAGAATGGGTAACAATTTAAATACAGTGTTTCAAAATCGTTTAGTTCTTTTTTTCTGCTTAGATGTTTTGAAGCAGGTCATTTTAAGACAGTCTGCTATAGAAAGTTGTCATTAAGGAGTTGCTGATAAGGGGCAGAAGAAGATTTCTGCAAGTGATTAAAATTGTTTATTTATCATCATCTTGTATAAATGGCAAGAGAGGATCTATAGAATTTATCTATATGTATGCTTTTTTCTCTTTTGTATTGAACTCATGTTTATGAAACTTGATTATTGGTGCAGAGTATTCTTGTTAATAAGTCTTGAATCACAACACAGAATGCTTACTTGAAGTCTATAAAAAAGGTTTACTTAGTCTGCAAATTAATAAAACAGAAATCATCACAGCTGGCCCAAAGAAAGGAGAAAAGGAGGGAATACTATTTGTTTTGAGAATTGATACTTTCCTAAGCAGAAAAGAGACAAGTTTGAGTACTAAGATAAGTTTGAGTACTACTCTCACACGACCACTCATTTTTGTAATTGGCACACAACAATAGATATGCATTCTTAGAACAGTACCCAAATTATTAAGATTAGTTGCTGTATCTACTGAATGCTAAAACCTTATCACAAAAAGCTTGTCAGTCTGAGTTAATCTCTAATCAGTAGTAGGATAGTAAGAGAACGCAGAAGTGACTGGGCCTAGTGTAAAAGGAAGGCATCTTTAGTCTCACAATGCGTAAAGATTTCAAACGGTTTCATGAAGTGGCTTCTCTACTTACATCTCTCCCCTCTCAAGTGAACAGTCCTATCTGTGGAGAAATATACCTTAAAGAAATACTTCAGATAGACCACCACCTTATGAGCAAATCTGCATGCCTAATTTCTGTTATATGTGATCTTTGGTGTCCAAACTAGTATCAAAGTTGAAGTTTAATCATAGGAAGATAAATGCATGAATTAGTAAATTCATTTGCTTGTTGTATAAATTAAATTTTTGCTTTTAACATGGTAGCCTATAGGCTAGAAAAGGCTTGACATTTATTTCTGCTTATGTCTGAAACCAAGGTTAACAAGTTTTCTTTAGTAATTTAGATGCAGCATACTTTTTTACTATTTTGCTCTCTCAAGTCTTGCCTATAGCATATGTGGCTCATGCTAGTCTGAATCTTAGCCTTTTACAATATATGTCCAAAAATTCATTGTGCAAATAAAATTGGTAATTTATGAAATTCCCTGACTGCGTGAGCTCTTCAGTTGCTGCTGCCTGTCTGGGGTTTTGGAAAGTTTTGGCTATGTGTTTAGTACGATGACAATTTCTGGTTTAGGTACCTAAGAACTATTTGTTACATTCTGACTTTGGCAAATGTGGGATTACTTTTTCCAGTTTATGTAAATAAGCCATCCAAGATTGTAAAATAGTTTATGTCTCTTCAATGTGTAGAATGTGACAAGAAGAGGAAGCAGTCCTGGCAGCCTGGAAGTTCCTAAAGACCTTCCTGATATATTGAACAAGCAGAACCAAATGCGTCCCGTAGACGACCCAGGCGTACCTTCCGAATGGACATCACCTGCCAGTGCGGGCAGCAGTGACCTCATCAGTTCAGACAGCCACTCTGACTCCTTCAGCGCCTTCCAGTATGATGGCCGCAAATTTGAAAGCAAGTATATTTTTCCAAAAGTAATAGCATTTTTTTATTAATTGTTACAATTTTTTTTTCTTTTCTCCTGGTAAGGTTGCGTGCCAGCAATTTTCTGTAGAGAGAGAGAATATTTTGATTTCCTGTTGAAATCATTAGCAAGTTAATGGAGCAAGAAGAGGTCTTACAAGAGCCTATTGTGGTTTTAGTATATTAAGAAAGAGAGCAGTGGAATACTACTTTTCAAAATAATAGTAATGTGCAAAAAGCAGAACAACACAGAACAGAAGTTAGAAAACAATATGATCTTTTCCCTGGAGGGTATCCATCTATTTTGCACAAAATATCAAAATTAAAGGTTACTTACTTACTTACTTCGGAAGTGTTTTTAATTCTTTTGAAAACACTTAGGTAAAACTTAAAGAAGTGCTTTTGATATTTTTACAGGGGCCCTTGTGTAGCTATAGAGTAATCAAGATACTAAGTGTATTATCATGGTAAATTTAGTAAGCTTTGTTAAAATTAGTGTGCTTTGTGTAATAACATAATGCTTTTTGTTCATTCCCACCCTTGTTGAACAGAAGGGGTCGTTGTGATTGCTAGGAATTATGGCTTTATGTATTACGTAAGATAAAAATAACGTTTATATGATAGAATTTATGGAAGAAATTACAATTTTTATATATGTCACTATTACGCAACTAGATGATGGTATTTAAGCCTACATTTCAACCTGCCATTTTTCTTTAGAGTTGAAAATAACATTTCTTAGAGTATCATTTGTCATAATATTTTTAGTTTAGTGGTTTTACAACAAACTTGAATATTTCTTCCAACTTGTAAATTTTGCAAATAAATTCCTTAATGAGTCCATTATTTTTACTTTATTTGCACATAGGTGCACTTACAGCAACCAAGCAGAATGCAGGACATGAAACAGGAATGTCTTCTGGAGATCTTCAGTCAGGGGTTTAATCTTACAGGAAAGAGATTAGTCAAAGTAGTGAATTATTTTCTGCTGTTACATTTTATGTAAATTTTGCAACAGTATATTAGTAGCATAGAAGATGCACATAAAAGGTTTCCATGGAGGAGTTTGGAGGTCCTGGACCTTAGGGTTTTTTTCATATTAGTGCTATTTGTAGGTTCTGAGTTAATACAGTGTTTTCCTCATACAGATTTCAGCTTTGGCACTGAGGCAGGGACACCAGCTTCTACTGACGTTGATGCAATTTCAGGACAGCAGCAGAGTGCCGAGGAGCAAGAACTGGCCAGTCTAACTACACTCCACATAGATTCAGAAACAAGTAGTCTCAATCAGCAACCATTGTCTGCTGAAGCTGCAACTATTACTGGTAAAGTAGATTTTTTTAAAAAAGCCCTAAAAAGAAAGTGCACTTATTTCTGAAATTTTTCACCCATCCTGAAGAATGCAAATTCCAGCTTCTACATGCATCTATATTCCTTTTAAGATTATTATTTCAATTATTTTTGACTGGTATTGAAAAGTAATGTGTGAAGTAACGTAAGTCAAAAACCTTTGTCTGACTTAGTTACCCCTAGGATCTCTAACTCGTTCCTAAATGTATTTTAAACCCTTCGTGACAAAATCTGTACAATTACCAAGGAGAAACTCGTACCACATTATGTATGCTAGATCTCTTATAAGTGTCCTTCTACTGCTGGTAGTTAAGTAACTGATTTTCAGGAGAAGGTTTTTCTTTGGAAGGCTTTGACAGTATTCTTTCAAACCAGTATATCACTCTAAGTATCATGGGATTCTTTTGTATACATCCATCTTAATGTCTCTATATTGTCTGTAAAACGTTATTTTGCCATGTAACATCACTTTCCATTTGTATAACTTAAAAATTCTTTTTATTTTAGTACTTTACTTGTTTTCATGAAAAAGTAAGCCTGTAGGAAAGGAGAGTTTAACGGCCTCAGTTGATGAGGTCAATGCTCCACCCATTTATTTTGCAATTGTTTCTTGAGAGAGTGAGAGAGAATAATAGAGTAACAGCCACCAAGTGATGCAGTTAACCCCAATTGAATGGGCTCCTTTCTCAAAGAGACAGTCCTTCTCCATGAGGAGGATTTTGAAGATCAGTCTCTTGGCAGGTTTCGTAAATCCAAACTAAAGATGTCCATAGTCATTTTCATACTTGTTGATCCATTCCTGTTACAACCCTAGTTGACTGCTGTTTGCTAGTCCTAGAACAAGTTGAACCCATAGTAGTCTTAGTCCAATTCAGATCCACATATGCTGAAGTATCTTTTAGTGAGTCTCCTGTAGTTCCACAGATGTTTCATAATTATTTCTGTCCATTCTCTTCCATCGTATGAAGATCTCTTTCCTTCTTTCCTCTGCTCCCTCCCTGCCTTCCCTGCTGTTCATTCTTTCCATCTCAATCCCTTTCCTTCCCTCTCTATCTCAGTCTGCCTCATTTTTTCTCCTCCTCATTGCTCTTTCTTGTTCATTCTCTTGAACTTTTATTCACCCCCAGTTAATGAACAGAATGAATATGAAGTAAGAAAAGTTTTCTTGAACATCTTTTAAGGTTGTATCTTATGTTGTCTTTGTAAGTGTGTGGAAAACAAGCGGTCAATAGCAAGAGGGGAGTATCATTACCCGTTGTGTGAAGCAATAGTCTGTGTGCAAAGCAGTAGTGCCCCTCTCTCCTGCATAGAGATGCTGATTTAAATAGATGGTAAAAGCTTCATTGCCTTAGTCATTTAAGGGAGATAGAGGCCTTTGCAGTTTAACGATGTAACTGAGATTGTTTACCACAGTTTCAGTTTTGATAACACTGACGTTTTCTGTCTAGTTCTTTAAACAATTTGTTCTCTTTACAAGAAGGAACATTTCTCAAGGAGAAGTATTCTCTCAATTAATCTCACAATAATTTGGGAAAATTACTGTTTTAAAAGACTCACTTATTCATTACTGTCCTCAAAGTTCAGTTTATCTCTAATACTGAATTTCACATGTAGTGCTTTTGTATCCCAGTTACATTTATCTGAGAGTTAAAGTTAATAGGTTTGAATTCTTCCATTTTAACATGTGCTACTGTGTAGGAAAGTCTGGGTGAATATCTATTCCTTTTTTGTCTGCCATATGACTGTTGTGGCTGAACTCAGCTTTTTATAAGAAGCTTTAGACAAATTCAGGATATGAAATGTAAGATAGTGCAGAAGAAAAATGCAAGTACATACTCTCCACAGATAGAGTAGTGGAGACCACATAGTTGCCTAGAGAGGTTGCTCAGAGATGATCAGAGAAAAATGCCTTTACAGCACTTCCATTCAGACACTTTTGATTTCCAGTCATAGAAGAAGTAAAACTTCTCCAGCTATACAGAACTTTCTCTTCATACAGATTTTCTCAACCCAATCAGCAGATAAACATCAAAGATTATCAGTTACTGGTTTGAGCTTTTATTTGTAAGTAACCTTGCATGCATCAGTAAACCTAAAAAAGCATTTATTCCAGGAAAATTTTTGCTTAAGCATTTTGCTGGAGAGAAATTTAGGTGAGGAAATGTGATGAGAAATTCAACTGCTTTAAAATGCTGAAATTGCTGCAGAACAAACACATTTCAAATGATTTGGACCAGTAGAGGTCTGTTAATCCTGTGATTACCTAACCGCTTTTGATGTTCATCTCTCAGCTTTCCTGCATGTAGTTTGTTTTCTTTCACAGCACCATTCACAAGGACATCTTCTTACTATTTTTATATTTGATACATAAAAGCAGCTCAGTTTTCTGTTAATGCTGTGTTTAGACAACATTTCAGTAGCTCAAGAAAATGGAAAAGGCTTTTAAGGTAACTGTTAAAAATTGCATTTACAGGCTCTGAAAGTGCTTCTCCAATCCAATCTGCTCTTGGATCCCGATCACAGACACCCTCTCCTGCCACTCTTCACGCAGATCATATTGAGCAGAAGGATCTGCAGCTGGATGAGAAGCTCCACCACTCTGTTTTACAGACGCCAGATGACCTAGGCAATATCTGGAATAGAAAATACAAACTTGTTCCTTCTTTCTTTCTAGTACAATATAGTGAAGTAGTATATGTGACTAATATTGCATGACTTGTAAACAATCCCGTATAAGGCTGTTTTATCTGCACTTAAAAAATATTTAATTTCAGTGATTTCTTTTAAAAGCAAAGACCTTTTGCATTTTATCCTCAGTTTCATTGGAATTATTAGCAGTGGATTAATAGTCCACACATTTATAATTGTTCTTTCAGTTGCTTAGAATCGTGGCAGCTTAATCTAGTGTATGACCCTGCCATGGATTGTTTTATTGATGAACAAATAGTAAGACATAATTTTAAAGTAATGTTGTCATTCCTCTTTGGAAATTTGGTTTTTTTCCCTTTCATATTTAAACAAATTAGTAATTACATCAACTATCTTAACTATTGAATTCTGAGATACATTCACTTTGTAAATATGGTGTACACATTTCTCCCATACTTGGTCTCATGGAAATAGAAGAGCGTCTGATATTTATTTCAGACCCTTTTCTTTAAGTAGCCTACTGATGAACAGAAATATCCTTTTGCTTTGTACTTTGTAATCTACAGCCTAGAAACCAGTTAATGTCTCTACCACAGTGGTCCAGATGTTCAAAGGATTGGGCTATGTGATTAGACTGATTTCAGATTTAAGTTTGATTTGGTTTGCCTGTGGGAGCTATGAAATTTTCAGAAAATCCCAGCAAACTCTGGTGCTGAGGTGTTTTGAAAATCCACCTGAGGGGGTGGAAGGAAGATTCTGAATGCCTGCTGCTTTAAAACTGTCTCAATAGCTAGTTTCTTGTGGCTCTTTAGACAGTTAAGTGTGATTTGAGTAGACGCAAGCCATCATAATCTGTTGAATGTTTCCTTGCATGGGTAGTTGAGATGAATCATTTATGTGGAGAGAGCTCGGTTATGAAGCTAGGTTACTGAATATTGCCTCTCCACTGATATATATTTACTGCTTAAAGGACAGTAGCTAGAGACAGGTTTGCTCTCACCTTTCTCTTCAATTTGCAATAAAATACATTCCTAGTAGATTCTAAGGAAGCTAGTCTTTGTGTTTTATTGGGGAAAATGAAAAGTTGAAACATAATTTTACTTGAAAGCAGGCAAGTGAAGTTCTGGAGATTTATTGACTCCAAAAAATGTAAGACAGCACAAAAGGATTTGCCTTACTGGGTCCATCTGATCTGTATTAGAGCTCCAGAAGTGACCTTAAATGTTATTTATGGAAAGAATATAAGAAACATCCTCTACAGAGTTTATAATATGCATAGAGTTTAACATATGCAGTGTTGAGATGGCAGAATATGCAAAAAGTAGCTAACTCCAAAAGCCTAATCTTTTGGGTTTAGGAAGATTATGTACATAATAGTTACATCAGAACTTTTCTTCTTCTGGAGTTATATCTCACTATACTTTTTTTCTTCTGTTACAGAAACTAGTGATTTCCCCTCAGAATGTTGCAGTGTGATGGCTGGGGGAACACTTACAGGATGGCATGCAGATGTTGCTACTGTGATGTGGAGGCGAATGCTAGGAATTTTGGGAGATGTCAACAGCATCATGGATCCAGAGATTCATGCCCAGGTTTTTGATTACCTCTGTGAACTGTGGCAGAATCTGGCCAAGGTAAAAGAACTGAACCTTTGACCTGACCTGACCTGTTAGGGCAGGATTTTCAAAAGGAAAAAACCAACACCTTATATCTTTCCCTTTAATGATTCTCTTTTTGTTTTGTTTTTAATAATTGCAGATAAGAGACAATCTTGGTATTTCAACAGATAACCTAACTTCACCGTCTCCGCCAGTTTTAATTCCACCACTGAGAATTCTAACACCATGGCTATTCAAGGTAAATTTGAACACTAAACTATGAAACAGAAATGGAATTAAACGTAGATGCAGAAGAGGGTTTTTAAATTTTTGAACAATAAATATTTTTCTAAAATTGTAGGCAACAATGCTGACTGATAAATACAAACAAGGAAAGCTACACGCGTATAAACTTATTTGTAAGACAATGAAACGAAGACAAGATGTTTCTCCAAACAGGGATTTTTTAACTCATTTCTACAATATAATGCACTGTGGACTTCTTCACGTTGATCAAGTAAGTTTAAGTATGAAGTTAAAGGTAATATAAATGTTAAAACTGAAAATAAAATTATTTTCTCAAATATGCTCAGTGGATTTTCAGCTGAGTAACTTAATAGTTATGCCGTTGATACTTTTCTAAAAAGTAATTTTGGATAAATGGTCTTTCTGTCCTTGGTTGTAATCAGAAATACTTTTTTTGTAGTCCTTTTCAAGCAAATTTGAAGGCAGAAAATGTACTTTCTCATTTTTACTGATTATATGTTACAGATTGAAATATGCAAGAAAGAGAAGGAAGCAGATCTCAAGTCTACTGTTCTTACTTGCTCCCTGATGCAACAGTTTAGCTTGTAAATTGTGCTCACTACATTGGAGGACTTTGTTTCTACAGCAAGAATAGGAACCAGCAAGCTGAGATGTACTGAGCACATCTAATCAGTGGGAGGAGATCTTTTTCATAGGTTTTATTATTAACAAGTCTGAAAATATTGGATAGCTGAAACACTCTTTTGAAAGCTTTGCATCAGAAGTGTGAAAATGTTGAATTTGTGAACTTTTTGAGGAGTAGTTGTAGGCATAGTGAGATCAGAGGTTTAAACAATCCTGTTTTCATTAACTGGGCAAAATAGAATTAGTCCAAAATTATTCCAGAGATGGCTGTGGATAGGACAGATCTCCAGTTTCTCTCCTCTAAAAACCAGTTTGTGCTGGTTTTCTTGCTGGATAGCACATCTTCCTGTAACATAGTGCTATTTAGTTGGATATTACTACTAGTGAAGAATTATTCAAGGGAGAATAAAGGGGGATTTTTTTGCATATCTGTGAACTTGGGATGATTTTTAATAATTTTATACTTTTCCAGTACTTTTGAAGAAATTGCACCGAGTACAGAAATTTTTAAAAGTGCTTCACTAAGTCTACATAAATGCAATATGCTGTGTTGAATAACTACATACCAGAAATGTTATAAAACACTTCATTATCTTTCTTTCTTTATATTTTGGTTCCATATGGATATACGTAAGAGGTTAATATATTTTTGTAAATTATAGTCAGGTAATACTTGTTGGAGAGGATTAAGCATGTTGTTAAGAAGGTATAATAGTTGGTCATCTCATTGTATCTCTTCAGAACATACTCAAATGTGTGGTTAATCACTTATAGAAATCTTAAAACCTAAATGTAAATTAATATAAGATATGAACTATTGTCCAAGGTTAAATTGATCTATAAAATATATCACAGTTTACTTACATTAATATGAATATACTTAAGGAATTTATCTTTTATGCTACTCTTCACTCATTAATGAGCATCTTAATGACCACAATGAATTTGATTTCTCACATTTTTACTTTCTACCTTTGATAAATACTTGCCTTTTTTCCTTAATTTTTTTGTCTTGATCCATGTTGATACTTGTCCTTTTTTCCCCTTTTTTCTCTGCAAGGATATTGTCAATACAATCATTAAGCACTGTTCTCCCCAGTTCTTTTCACTTGGTTTGCCCGGTGCTACCATGCTTATTATGGATTTCATTGTAGCAGCAGGAAGAGTAGCTGCTTCATCATTCCTCAATGTAAGTATTCATCAGTTAATTCTCATTTGTGGATGAGTGAGAAGAATTTGAGAGAAAACTGAGCAGTATTTTAACTCGACTGGGGTGTTAACTTCATCTCAGAATTCAGCGAATGGTTTTCAGGTACAGATGATGTCAGTGATTTATTCTAGAACACTACACATGCAAGTCCTCTTCAGAAAATATGTGAAGAATGCAAAAACTACTGTTGAAGCAGAGAATGTTTTACTTCAGAGTTCTTAGAATTGTGACTATCATTTTTCTGTGCTTTAACATATTTTAAAGTAAATGTCCATTTTGACCAGATTTCATTTTAAAAGTGTATTTATTCCTTCATATCTCTGTTTATGCAATGACTTTCTTGATCAGGCTTGAGAACTCAAATCTGCTAGTGTTTGTACTATTTGAATGTACTTCTGATATTGTTACTCAGGCAGATTCAGCCTTATATAGGATACTGATATGATTACCTATGTGCTGTTGACCTTGCATTCTCCAAGTTCCCAAATAGTCCCCTCCAACAGTCTGTGAGTTTTGACTGTTTCTCACATCATTTCCCCTCTAATCAGCTATGAAATCCAGCCTCCCACGAGGTACTGTCTGAAGCCTCTGTCAGCTTCTTACACTGTAGCCTTTTCTGTCCTGCAGTGTTTCATGTCGCCTCTGGTAATTTTCCACATCTTGTTCAATTAGCTGAACCTAAGACCTGAGCCTAGTTAGCAGCTCAGTCATTTCTGTGTAGTCCTAACAATTCCTTTGCTTCCTTTTGACTGTCTTGGGAAATGGGATCACGGGGTATGCATGAGTAGCAATCCAAGGGGCTGTGGTCTCTGTTTACTAACTTTGCAGAATTTGCAGGAGAAAGGAAATAGCTAAACAGAGTTTTGGCTATTGTTCTCCCCACCTTTTTTCCTTTTTTTTAGGCACCAAGAGTTGAAGCACAGGTTCTTTTAGGATCTCTAGTCTGTTTTCCCAATTTATATCGTGAACTACCAGCTCTTCACCCAAACATTCCTGACATTGCTGTGTCTCACTTTACAGATGTTAAGGTAGGAATTTCAAGAATATTTTGCTAATATTCAGCTAGTATATGTTTAATATGGTGTTTTTCCAGAAAATACTAACTAAAATTCTTAGATCCTAAAATTTTAGAGAAATAATTTCAAATAGATTGTAAGACTCAAGATCCCATAAAATCTTGTCAAACTTTATACTGCTAAGCATACTTTATAATTGCTATTAATAATAAAGTGTTTTCTTACGTTTGTAAAAGGAAATTATGTGTTATCTCACCCTTTCAGTCCTACTCTCATTAGGGCTATTTACAGGTCTCAGATTTAATCACCTGAGACAGAAGTTTGAGAGGCTTAAGATTCGTTATTTAATTGTGAGTTCACAACTGGTGAAATCTGCCTGTGTTCCTAGGGGCTTTAGAAAACTTCTGTACACCAATGTGATCTTCTACTAAAAGATAAAGATTAATGGAGACCTTACCCTGTACATTGTGAAACGCATTTGACTGGTGTGCCAGTATACTGAAACTGCACAGAGCTCAGTTTATGTGTCTAAGAAAGGCTCCCCTTACGTTTTATAAGTTTTTTACATTTTCCCCTCACTGTTTCAATTTAGGGAGAAATGATGACTTGAGAGTTGCTTTATACCTTGCTCCCCTTTGGAGACTGATTTTTAATTCCTTCTTTCTCATTTCTATTATAGAATGGCTGTTTATTTGAACTTTATTGAGGGCAGCCTACAGCTTTAGGGACATTACACTTCAATTGAGTCAAAATTCTTCTTGGCATCATTCTTAAGGCACCGTAGTCACTTATTCTGCCACTAGTTGCAAATACTTCTAAAATTATTTAAATTTTTTTAAAAATGCTTGCTTAAATCTGGAATTAGATTCTTTCTGTCATAACCATCACCACTGTTCACAGAAGCTAGTTTCAACAAGTCCCTTATTGGGTTTTTTACCCTTGATATTTTATGGAAATGTTTTGACAAGAATTGGATAAATGGTTCATCAACAGAAGTTAGGACAGTAACCTGTGGGATATTCTTGGGGTAGCACAATAATGAGCATCTGGGACAGGCTAGAAGTTTAGAGTAGTGGTAAGCAACCAATTCATCTGATCAGAACCTAGAGACTCAGCTAAGCAACATGCCTGTGTGCACTCTAATAAAATTCTGATTTTTCTAATGCTTCATGTTAAGGAGTTATGGGTAAATCAATGAGCATTTTCCTCTTTGTTTTAGGAACTCATCATTAAAACTGTGTTAAGTTCAGCAAGAGAGGAGCCATCTGGTCCTGCACGGTAGGTCATATACAATGAGCTCCTAAATTAATAGATTTTTTTCTTTTTTAGAGTGTTTTGAGGTGGCTTTATTAGAAAGCTTAAAGTAAAAGTTTGTGTGCATTTTATTTATGATTTTCTTTACCACAAAACTGTGATGCACCATGTGAATTTGAAATTGTTTGTAATAAAGATATTAAAAAAATAGATTGGGCTGGTCTAATCCAGTATTCTTTCTCTGATAGTGGTTGATAGGAAAGGGTGTAAATATGGGTAAGAGAAAAAGCTGCATGCTTTCCCAACCTACCCTGGTGTTCAGCTCAGGGATTTTCAGTGCCACAGAGGCATTTTTTTACTTTCATTGAAGACAAGAGTATGAGGGGAAGGTATAGTTATTTTTTATTAGAGCACACGATTTAATTTGAAAAACAGAAACAATGCAATGTACATGAGCTCTTTTTTATGGTATGGACAAGAAGTAGAACATACAGAGCTAAGGATTAAACTAGGACTGGTTACTCTGATGCTTAAACCTAAGCATCTTCATCAGGTAGGGGACTTCAGAGAGGATAGTTATCAGTTTTCTATTTCTTAATCTCCTTAGGATTTTGTTCCTCCTTACCCACCCTCAGAGGCTTTCACTTATAGAGTCCTGCCTATGGGATCGGAACAGGAGTCTGTAACACCCATCAAGGAAGAGCACGCTTGTGTGCCTTATGTGTTTGGGAAAAATGTATATATACATCCAGCGAAAATATATTGTCACTTAAAAATACTAAAACTACATACCTGAAAAATACAAGCCTGGAAAGATCAGCTTATTGAACCTTTAAATGTTTTGCTGGAAAATCAAGAGTGGTTTTCATGAGCCCTCTTACCTGTTTCTTCACTTGATCTGATAATTTCTCTCAACACAGGGGAAGGAGGGGATGTTCTGAGATCATGTTAGTTTCATTTCTCGTGTTCTTTACAAAACTGATTTCTGAAAAGCATAACACTCTCCATTTCACTTTTGAAAAAGGTAATTTAAATCCACTTGGTTCACAATATTTTTTCTGATCCTGTGACACTGAAGCACATGGTATGGGCACCTTCAGTTCTGGCCGTGTGACTGGGAAGAGGAAGGGAACATCTTGCACATCCTCCTGTCCTGTCTGGCTGTGAGGGTGTGTATATAGGAGTGGAGCATATGTACATGCAAAGCCTTTCAGAATGCTGAGTTATGCTGCTCCCAAAATGCAGAGTTGGACCACTATGTGCAATAGCATTAAATTAAGATTGAAAAGGAATAGATACCTAATGTCTCTTTGAGTTACCTCTGCCCCTCACCTTCTTCTGAGAGACAAAAGAGTTTGTGTTCATTGGAGGGATAATTATGTTACCACAGCTTCTGAAGCCTGACTGCCTTACTCCTCAGTGGCAGTTTATCCACAGTCCTTTTTGGTAATAACTTGTCTGATACAATCTATTTTACAGCAGTACAGAGTTCATAGAGGTCACACTCTGAGGTCATCTTTAGTATCTGCATTACAATTTTGCTACATCAACTCAGCCACTAGTAGAGGCTTAATTGCCTTTGCAGTTTCCTAGGAGAGAACATAGGTACATAGCTGGTACTTGGAACATAGGTACACAAGCTTTGTGTATCTATAGTAAGTCTGAGTGATTATATATTTTGTATATATTTATCTATACACCCAAGCTCTAGATCTCTATTCCTTATTACTTCCACAGAGGCTTAACGTTTTGTGTTTTGACCCAACTAGGCTTCAGGGAAGTCACTTATCTGAAATATGTTCTACTCTCAGATCTCCATCTATAAAGAATAAGAACTGTATTAACCAAATACCTCTCCTGCTGCTAACAATCTGAAAAAGAAATGACAGCTTGATGAACTTAGTGTTCATCTCTTTTTCTGCTTGTGCTCAACAATCACAGCCTTAACAGGCTGTGATTCTCCAATAGTAACATTGTGGCCACATTATTACACAGTTTTTTCAGAGACTGCTCTGAATAACGATAACAAAACTGATGTTCTTAGTAGAAACCTCCCAGACTCTAGATATTTTGCACATCGGTATAGTATATCATTGGATTTGGAGTGGTTCTCAGTAGCATGAAGAAAACTTAAAATAGTAACACAGAATTGTCTGCTTTTCTGTATACTAAAGATTTTTTTTTGAGTCACTTTACACAAACTGTCTACATTTATTGTTAAATCCATGCTATATTCTTATTTTCTTTTTTTCAGAAAGAATTGAAACACATATTATGGTAATAGGGGAAGTGTAGATTGCTCCACACCCTCTGAGACTGGAGTGTGTTTAAAACATTCCTGAGGGTAGCTTGCAGTAGAAGCTTGTAGTAGTAAATGGTCCTGAAAATTTTCTCCAAGAAGAAAGCTATGAAGATCTTAGATTATTCTGATACGTATTTAATTTTTACAGTCAGATTGGGTTTATGACCACTATATAGGAATAATCTTTTCTACTGGAAATTAAATTTTTATGTGTCTTACTACACATCAGAAGATTTCTTATCATTTCCTTTCTTAATTGTGATCTAGACTCAGTATGCCCTTCAACTTTTCCTCCATATGCAATTTTTCCCAAAGTTTGTTTGTTATTTTTATCACTTTTTTTCCTAGATTCCATCAGTCTTGTTTTTATTCTAAAATTGGATTAATCAAAATGTAGTGGAGGCAATCCTGCAGTTATTCTCCCAGTGGCAATGTACAAAACACGGTCGTTTTACACTACTATGTAGAATTAATTCCTATGTGTAATTTTGCTACCTGTAAGCATTTTCATGATTCTGTGTAGCCTTAAAACCTTTTTTCTGCAGCACAGGCAGCACACTTCTGTTCCTATTCTAGCCTATGATTTTTCCTTCCCAAATGTAATGCTTCGCAGTTTCCATGACCAGCTTTCATCTTGTTGATTTGGGATTTCTCTCAAATTTTATCTAAAGGATTTTGAGTTCTGAAGTTGTTTCCAAAACATTTGCATAATGTGTTCTAGAAGATAATCAGAGATTGCTTAAGGTAGTTCTTAACATTTCCAAACAAATTTCATCCATCTTTGCTGGTTTGAACACATATACCTAAATACCCTTTACCTTTACACTTCTATTTCCTGATTTAAATGAAGACACAAGAGAAGTTGAAGTACTTAATAACAGTATGTATGCTGTCTATAGCATTCATTTACCCTTCCTCTATTCATCCTTGTTTACTGTCAATCTAAAACAATGTAAACATCTGTGAACAAATAACATTCCCCTCTGTTGTCTCTGTGTCTCAGAAGCTCTAACTTAATATAAGCAACTCTTACATTGGAAAGGGGGAACCTACCACCACAATTTTTACTTTGTCGTAAGAAAATAAAAGAATTTCTCGTATATTGATTTCAGGTAATAGTTTAATCAAGAAAGCACATAGAGATGCAGGAGTTCTTGATATAATTTTGAATTTTTCAGTTGCTCAGAACAGTGCTTCCTCTGTCCTTTCCTCTGCATTCACCAGAGTACTTCAGATTTTTTGCTCATTTTTATAGAAGTTACAGCACTGTAAAGGTTTTTGTGTAGTTCTTTTGGAAATACTAAAAACATATTTGTTATATGTCTTTAGGAAGGCATAATAAATCATAAAAATTACACACTCTTGTAGAATGTTTCTCAACAACTTGTCCTCCAATGTTGTTTTACAGATGTGTTGCGCTTTGCAGCCTTGGTATTTGGATCTGTGAGGAGCTGGTTCATGAATCACATCATCCTCAGATCAAGGAAGCATTGAATGTGATTTGTGTTTCTTTAAAGGTGAGAGACTTAAACTTTTACAATGTATGTTGACTTGATGTGTAAAGATATTTTGTCTTTTCAAAGTCATGATCACATTTTAGCATCCGTATTTCAGTCTTATTTGCAGTCGTTACAGAAGAGTGAATTCAGTTTAATTAGTGGATATCTGAACTGTCAAAAGTTCTTTACCCTACTTTAAGTTTGGAGAGAATGGTGTGCTGGGAGATAAGATAGTGGATCTTTATCTTAATATGCATTATTTGCCACTCTAACCTCTACCCTTTGGAGCATAGTACTTTGTTCATCTCCCCATCTTTCTTTAATAATCCTTGCAATTCAGGTTTCTACTATCTCTATCTGGCTTTGTCCAGCTATACCACTTCCCATATCCTGGACCCAAACTTCCACCAGGGTTTTCTGCATCTATTTGTAACTAGATCCAGGAGCCTCTGGATCCAGGAGCCAAACTTCCACCCATCCACTCACTCACTAGCCCTCCTCAGTAGGACAGGAACAAAACAGCATGAAAAATCCTGTGGGTCAAGATGAAGACAGGGAGATTGCTTGCCAGCTACCATCATAGGCGAAACAGATTTGAGTTAGGGAAGTTAATTTATTGCTAGTTAAAATAATTTCGGCAGTGAGAAGCAAAGACAGAATTTAAAACATCACCTTTCCCTGCCCTCCCTTTCAGCTTCCCTCCTTTGTTTCCAACTCCTCCGCCTCCTTCTGCTTCCCCCCGTAAGTAGTACAGAGCAGATGAGAAATGGGGAGTTATGGTTGGGACACAGCAGTTACTGTCTGCTACTTCTTCCTCCCTCCTTTCACTGGCTGCAGTCCTTCAGGATAAGCCTCCTTCTGTGTGGACTGCCCACAGACAGCCCTCAAGAAATATCCAGTGCTGAAGCGTGGGGTGCTCCAGTGTGGATCTCCTTTGGCACAGTCTTTTCTGTAGGCTGCAGAGAAATCTCTGCTCTAGCATCTGAAGCACCTCCTCCCCCTCCTCCTTAGACCTTTGTGTTTGCCTACTGTTTGTCATTCCTTTCTTTTTTCTTTTTTCTTTTTTTGTTGTTTTCCGTTCTCTGCCTGCGTGGTGTATTTACCCTTTCTTAAATATGTTTTCACAAAGTCGCCACAAACCTGGCAGATGGGCTCAGCTGTTCTTCAGTGGATCCATTGCAGATCTGGATGGAAGCTCCTCCTTCTGGCATGGCATTCTCTTTTGTCACAGAGAATCCCCTGTAGCTTCTCCGTTACCAAAACTTTACCATGTACACCCAGCAGAGAACCACACCAAGACACTGCACTACAAAAGTGTTGGAGTTTTTTCTTCTGCAGCATTTGTGTCTTTTGCCTAGGCTTGCCATGGTTGTCCAAGTTATTCACATACCTCACTAATTGGCATCCTGGATTACCAGTACTCTTAAAACCTTCGTGGTGCATTCTGGCCACGTTGCAAAAGGAAGAGACCAGGGTAGAGGGGACATTGGAAGGAATCCCAGTTTTGGGAGCCATCTACCATGTATGCAAAAAGCCTGTCCCAAGCCAAGTTGCTGCCTTGTACTCTTTGGCTACTGACAGAGTAGAGCATCCAGTGTAAGAGGGGAAGAGGAAAGAAGGTGGCAAGTGCAAAGGCCAGGCAGAAGTTTTCCAAAGCTTCTTGTGCTCCTTGCTCACCTGCTCTCTTCTTGCCCCCGCCAACCAAACCCCATTATGCCCATAGCCTCACAACATTCTGTGCATATTCACTTCTGAGTTTGAGAGTCCCTGCATTATGCAGTATCATTTCTTAGTCCTGCCTAGATATTTAGAGAGAAATATAGAGTACTTATACTGCATGCCTGAAAGCACTGGAGGATGTTTAATTTGCTGTGGCAGTGCTTCTCTATGCTTGTTCTAGGAACCGCACTCTTTTGGCTTTTTTTTTTCTGAATAAGTGGTTTTGTTTTCCTACTATTTTAAATATTTTTTGTATTTGTTCTTATTTTATAGAGTAATAAGAATATTTGTAAAAACATGTTATCTTTTAGCATTTTGTGAATTTGCATGCTTGTGAGAAATAGCTTCAACTTTTCAAATATTTTCAATTTATTTCCATTTATTTTCAGAACCTTTCTATGTGCTCTTTGCATCAAAATTCAATAAATAGTCTTTGTATATATACATATTGACAAAAAATGGAGTACATCTGCTATACATGACTTCTGTCAGATGCTGGGGACTATTACTTTCTTTTAAGCAATAGTCATCTGAAAAATGTCTTAGAAGATCAGCTCATCACATCCCGTGATGCAGGATTTGAGTCTATGTCTAAAATGGTAGCTGCAGGGCATTTAGAATTAGACTCTAAATTGCAATTTCCTGTTTTGCAAAGTCACACTCGTACTTTGCAGCTCCACTAATACTCTCTTCCTTGTTTTTTAATATCCCTTTACTCTTGCATTTTATCAAGTTCCTGTGCAGGTTTGGTATTAAGCAAATTATATTTTCATCTTGCTTCTGCAATTTATCAATATATGAACTATTTTTAATCCTGAAATTCATAGCAGTTTCTCTTCTTTTTCTTTGACGTATATGGATCTCATTTTTACATTATTATTTGTATCCCATTTATGTAAAACATATATTACTTCTTGAATGACAGAACAAAGATCTTCACATTTCTACTTTGCTTTGCTTTGTGTTGGCTAAAACATCCAGAGCATGTTGGCTTTTTTCCTGTTCTGAGCAATGGTTACATTCACAATTGAGTTTAATAATAAAATGAAAAGTTCATAAATATGTCATGGAAGAAACAAATTAGCTCTAATTTGTTACCCAAGCAGTCTCCTGGCTACCAAGTAAGTCAGAGGTTTGAACTCCCAGAATGGATTATTTTCTTATTTTCAGGAGAAATGAATGGATAGAGAGCTTTAGTCCTAGTCCAACTTATGGATAAGCTCAGTTGAGCAAATAACATTGAATAGAAATGTTAGCAGCAATTATATTCCTATTTTTGGAATACCAGAAGCATATTCAGAGCTGCGGTTCATCAGTTCGCTTGGGATATAGCTAGTGCTTCTCCCAGCAATGTGGCAATACTGCTGTGTCTGCATTAACCTCTGCTGAAACCCGAGCACAAAGGATCCTAACCAGCCACCCAGACCCCTGCATCTCATGATTTTGTTATGTTTCTCTTAAAAATGCTGTAGGTACATCACAAAGTTGTGTTGTACAGGCTTAGTTGAATGAGACCTAAACATACCTTATTTGCAAGTATAGAATGGAGAAGGTTAAACTTGTGATTTAGTGTCCAGAAAGCAATAGACTATTGTGGAGATGAACAGTATGGTAAGACTAGTCTTCTGAGAAAAGCCCTGAGCAATGGGCAAGTGCCAGTTCATTGAACCCTTTTCCCCCCACCCCAATCAAGTAACTTTTCAAAAATTATGTACGCAGTTTCACTACTAAATATAAAAGTAGTGAATTCTTATCACAGAATATGCTGAGATGGAAGGGACCCACAAGAATCATCAAGTTCAAGTCCTGTCCCTGCACAGGGCCATCCCCAAGAGTCACACCATGTGCCCAAGAACACTGTCCAAACACTTCCCAAAGTCTGTCAGGCTTGGTGCTGTGACCACTTCCCCGGGGGAGCCTGTTCCAGTGCCCAACCACCCTCTGAGTGAAGAACAGTTCTAATATCCAGCTTAAACCTCCCATGACACAACTTCAGGCCATTCCCTGCTGTCACTGGTCACCACAGAGAAGAGGTCAGTGCCTGCCCTCCCCTTCCCCTCATGAGGAATTTGTAGACTGCAATGAGGTCTCCCCTCAGTCTTGTCCAGGCTGAACAGACCAAGTGCCCTCAGCTGTTCCTCACATGGCTTCCCCTCAAGGCCCTTGACCTGTAGCAGACTTGCACATTATTTTTTTGCCCCTTGGTTCTTACCCAGAGTCTCTCAACTGTGCCATTGCCAACTGTGACCACCCCTCTGCTCTTCTGCTCTGTCTGTCTCTCCTGAAGAGCCCGTAACTGTCCAACAGGGCACTCCAGTCACAGGTCTCATCCCACTGGGTTTCGCTTAGACCAATGATGTCAAATCTCAGGGACTGGGCCAAAGTTCGAGCTTCTCTTGTTGGTTCCTCACACTGTGTGCAGGGGTGTAGAAACATTTCAGGTGTGGTACGTTGTAGCCAACACCTCATGAGGCAGATTGAGGGATCCTGTTAGTTCGTGTTTCCTCAAGTTTTGGCACACCATCCCATCTCTCATCACTGGCGAACCTGGTTTTGTCTGCTTCCCCTTTCCAAGCTATTTTAAAGCTTTGTCAACAAGCCCTACTAGCTCCTGTGCAAGAGCTCTTTTTTTTCCCTCTGAGAAAGGTGCATCTGATCAGGTGTCAGTAGACCAGGTGTTGAACTGATCATTGCAGGGTCCAAAAAATGAAAATTTTTTCCAATTACACCAACCTTGGAGCCGTTTATTGACCTGATGGATCTGCCTATTCTTATCAATATTGTTCCTTGTTACTGGAAGGATTGAGGAAATTATTATCTGTGCTCCTGATCCCTCTATATAGTAATTTATAATATTATGTGTTATTTTATATTTATTATAATATATATTTATGTAATTATATATATTAATATATATATATTTATATAATTATATATATTATTTTATATAATGGTAAAAGGTCCTGTCTGACCAACCTGATCTCCTTTTGTGACCAGGTGACCCGCCTGGTAGATGAGGGAAAGGCTGTGGATGTGTCTATCTGGACTTCAGCAAAGCCTTTGACACAGTCTCCCATAATATACTCCTGAAAAAGCTGGCAGCCCATGGCTTGGACAGGGACACTCTGTGCTGGGTTAAGAACTGGCTGGAGGACCAGGCCCAGAGAGTGCTGGTGAACGGGGCTGCATCCAGCTGGCAGCCGGTCACCAGTGGTGTCCCCCAGGGATCAGTGCTGGGCCCAGTCCTGTTTGATACCATTATCGATGATTTAGATGAGAGGAGTGTACCATTAGCAAATCTGCAGATGACACCAAGTTGGGGGGCATGTTGATCTGCTGGAAGGCAGGAGGGTTCTTCAGAGGGACCTGGACAGACTGGAGAGATGGGCTGACTCCAGTGGGATGAAGTTCAATAAGACCAAGTGCCGGGTCCTGCACTTTGGCCACAACAACCCCCTGCAGCACTACAGGCTGGGCACAGAGTGGCTGGAGAGCAGCCAGGCAGAAAGGGATCTGGGAGTTTGGATTGACAGGAAGCTGGACATGAGCCAGCAGTGTGCCCAGGTGACCAAGAAAGCCAGTGGCATCCTGGCCTGCATCAAGAACAGTGTGACCAGCAGGCTCAGGTGAGACCTCATCACTCTACAACTCCCTGAAAGGAGGTTGTATCCAGGTGGGGGTCAGTCTCTTCTCCCAGCAGTAGGACAAGAGGGCACGGTCTTAAGCTGTGCCAGGGGAGGTTTAGGTTGACTATTAGGAAAAAGTTTTTTACAGAGAGAGTAATCAGGCACTGGAATGGGCTGCCTAGAGATGGTGGATTCACCGTCCCTAGAGGTTTTTGAGATGAGATTGGATGTGGCACTTGGTGCCATGGTCTAGTAACCACAGTGGTATTGGATCAAGGGTTGGACTTAATGATCTCGGAGGGTTTTTCCAACCCAATTTCTTCTATAATTCTATGATAATAATAGTAATGGTGATAAAACAGGAAAGGAAAAAAACCTAAGTGATACACAATAAAAATACTCACTGACCACTGACTGATGCCAGACCACCCTTTCCGAACCCGGACAAGCCACACTTCCAGATAACTCCCTCCAGTTTATGTACTGGGCGTGATGTTTTATGCTGTGTAATACCCATTTGGCCAGTTTGGGTCACCCTTCCCAGTTTCTTTTGCTCTGCCTCCTCACTGGCAGAGCAGGAGAAAGAAAAAGTCCTTGACTTAGGATAAACAGGACTTGGCAAAAACCAAAACAGCAGTGTGTTATCAACATCCTTCTCATTCCGAATCAAAAACATAGCACTGTAACACCTACTGAGAAGAAATTAACTCTATCCTAGCTGAAACCAGGACAACATTCTTTTGAAGTGTGATATACTGACAGCTTTCTGAAGCAGATGAAGGGTTTGATCTATTTCAGCCAATCCCCATATTCTTGATCAAAACTTCCTACCTAGCGCTCTTCCCATGAATAAGAAAACTTGAATGCACAAGATTAGATTTTAAATTTATTCATATTCATTACTTTATACCCTTCATCTCAATGTGAAATTTATGTCTCCACTGGCTTTTGTTCCATTCTTAAATTAAAAAAATAAAATTCTCTTCAACCAGAGAAAAGGCTATGTAAACCAGCCTTAGAAATCATTCATTCATGCATCTACATTTTAGAACCTGATGTGCTTTTTTAAAAAAAAAAAAAAAACTTTAAAAATTAAAAAAATAAATGTTTCCAGTTTTTGCGTAATGAATGGCTGATTATTCAATGACTCTGAAAAGTCTCCAGGTCTCTTTCTCAGGTAATTTTTTGTTACATTCAGTCATCTGGATACTCTGTATTAAGCTACTCCGATTTGTCCACCCCATTTGTCTTCTCAGTGACTTCGGTGTTTTCCTGCAAGCTTTTAAGGGTGTTTTCAGCAATCTGGATTTGATCTCAAGTTCTGTAATCAAATTGTTATGCTTTCAGTTTTATTTAATTTTTTTCTGGTTGTCACTCAAGCTTGAGCATTAGAATCTATACCCTGCTTACTGTGGTCTCACAGAGTACTTTCACAGCATAAAGAGAGGCTGTCTCATGAGGGATAAAAAAAAATGGTGTACTTGTCATAAGCTATGGGAAGACTTGCAGATGTGAGGTGTTCATTGTGTTTTTAATTAAAAGCTGACAATAACATGAAACTGCGTCCACAGAGAAACAGGGAAAGTCAGAACAAGAATTAACTACCCATTGTGTACTCTGGTTTCTGTCTCTGTGGATGACTTACAAGAGCCATTCATAGTCTTTTTTTATCCTTACATAGATACCACCAAAAAAAATGTTAATTAAAGCTTCGTACCCCATACTTTTCTTTATGCTTGTACCATTTCTTTTAAATGCAAAAATGGCTGGCTCTGCTTTGATAAGAAGCTGACCCAGAACAGAGTTTTCTTCCAGTGTATTGTCCACCTTTAACTTCTTGCCATTCAGAACTTTTATTCTGAAATCTTTAATTTTCTGCTCAGGCTTCGTTGCCCAGGCATTTCAGCTTTCTTTAAGATTTACTTCTTTTTAAGGTTTGTGAGATGTATCCTTCCCTAAAGGGTTAATGGAGCTGAGCTGAATAAGAAAACAGTCTACAAAGCAAAGAAATTAAATCTAAGTATTTTTGCAGCATAATTGCGCCTTTCTGAGGTAGACAGCCACCTTGCAGCACATACTAGTGACAGCTTCACTGCTGAATAAAGTGAAATGAAAACAAGTAAACTACTTTTTTAATAATACAGGAATTTACTTATAAAATTACCTTTGTCCATGTCATTTGCTGCTCAGCTTAACGTTTTAAAGCAAGTGCAATGAAGGTAGAAACCTCAATTACATGTCTTGTCCCTATCTTTTAATCTCGTTGTTTTCCCACTTAAGAGTATAGAACAGAGTGTACATCTCCTCCTAAGGCTGGGAATTAATTGTACAAATGCATTCCCTTCTGCCTTGACCAGCACAGTAACTTTGGAAGGTGGGCTCCAGTGCAGCAACATTCTCCTGCCTTTAAATGATAACAGAGAAAAGCATAGTTAAGCACAGAAGCCAAGGTGCATTCATTTCCATTCAAACAGGCACTGGAAACAGCAGTTGCTAGCAAACAGCAGAAAAGTTAGTCTCATGTTCAGTACAATAGGCTACGGTTTGGGTACATGGCTCTTCACTTGCTTTGGTTCTCTGCAAAGACCTCTGATTTCAGAATTGAATCTTTGGGGTTTTTTGCAGTGATTCATGAATATTAAAAATCATTAAGTTAACAAGAAACGAATTCTTTCTTCCTGGCTTCATCATAATGTACTAACCAGTCTGAAGTTAGTTAGGAGACTCCTCTCCCCTTTTCCTCATTGTATGCAACTCACTGGTTGTCTGCCCCAAACCTTTTATGTTAGCTGTTAACATTTGTTTATGAGTAAATAATTCCTTTTAAGTTTTCTAAAATTTAACTCTGTTCCTCTGGTAAATAGGTACTTAAGCATCTATACATGTAAAATTATCACTGACATTTGTGACCACCCTACCACCTAATGTACTCTTACATGAAATCATTTCATCTCATTGCTGTGCTATGTTCTTTTTTCTAGTTTCCAAATAAAACAGTAGCCCAAGTTGCCTGCAGTATGCTGAACATGCTGATACATTATGTACATAGACTTCAACTATATCAAGCTGATTCACCTTTACGGATTATTCAAGTAAGTAATTTTTGTAAACTTGAAATTTTCCATTATTTTAAAGGAAACAGTGAAAAATATATTTCCCTGAAATTAAAATAACAGAATATTGACAATTGCATTTCACAAAATACTGAATTAGTATAACCATAATCTTACTTAACACTAGCAGTAGGGATTTGCAGCATACTTACTTCCTGACTCTGATATGGACGTGTAATGTACCTGTATCATGCCTGGTTTTTCTCAGAGAAAAAAATTACATGAGAATGTTGTCAATAAAGTCCAAGGCTTTTTAATATTAAATATCTTCAAATATGTTTATTTAAGTTTAATGAGAAAGTGATTACTTAAAATAAGGATCTGGAATGATATTCTTCATATCCGTTAAAGAGTTTCAGTTTAAAGCAAAAATAATTATTTTGTATATACTTCCCATAACAAGGAAACAGATTATGGCCTCTGCGACTCCAAATTGCGGAGAAAAGACAGAGGTCTCCCAGGTAACTGGAAAGGGAATCATGTGAAAGCTTCTTAAGAAGTACAGGAAGCACTTCTGATCCTCTGCAGTCATGTTTTTGATCAAGTGAAAACAGGGTGTATACGAATTCTAGTAGGTCTAAGAAATAATGGAACACAGATAGCCCCATATACAAACCAGCATCAGATTGTGTGCCCTACAGGTGTGTGGAATCAAGTTCTCTTCCTGTCTGAATATTTGGGGTAGCCATGTAATTTCATTGTCCTTAATGCATTGATGTCAGTCAAGCAAAACATATTCCTTTGATATCTTCTGCAAAACTCAATTAAAAGTTTTTTTATTTGAAAAAATTGGCAAATACTGTAATTTGTCTCAAAATAACTTTAATAGAATTTAACTATGAATCTGGTATCATGTCACATTTACCTGCTTAAAAAATTATTTTAAACCTTAATATTTAGGTTATATTTTAAAAGAAATATGTATGTTTCCCCAGATTCTGATAGCAACTATTACACATCTGCTACCCAGTACGGAAGCTTCCTCTTATGAGCAGGACAAGAGGGTGAGTATTTTTCATTTCTTCTTAATATGTCAATTTAATTACAAAGGTGCATGACAAAACTTTGTTTCAAAATTTAAGCTATTTTAAGTCAGAGACTAGGTCTTTTACATATAATACAGTATAGTCTTTCCAGAATTGCAGCAATATTGTTGATCCAAGTGAATTCTTGGCGGGAAAATATGCATTTAAAATTAATCAAGGTTGATTTTTTTCAGTAATTAGAAAGTCTTCTTTTTCCTTACTCTCAGTGAACTTAAAAGCAAATTAATGGTAAAACTTGTCTTATAGGGAAAATATATTATCAACTTTTAGAAAGTACATTGCAAAACATTTATAAGTTTATAATTTTTTGGTGTTTCCGTAGTATGTACATTCTTAAGAAAGCCTGTAATATTCAGATGAATTTGATTATCATCATCCTTCAAAATGATTGCTGTTTGTGCTTTCAATGCACCTGAGCCCCCAAGCTGAGATCTTTCTTTACCTGTCACTCACATTAGTACTTTCTGCCTCCTGAAAGCTGTGTCTCTTCTGAATTATTTGACTTTGCTCTGAGGCTGTGGGACTTAATGGTCATTTAAATGACAGCTCCGTCATTCTGGGCTACCATTCCCACAGGAGCTGGAGTTCATCTGTTGCTCCTTTTGGCCTCCAGAGCTCTGTTTCACCTCTTATGTCTGTTCGCAAGAAGTCAGGGGCTGTTGTAGACTACAGTCATATGCCAAGCTGCCACTTTTCTGCTGAAGGATGCTTCTCATAACTGACAGAGTTTCCGCGTAAACTAATGGTGATCATTGTACGTCAAATACCATATAAAAAATTGTCATACCTATTTTGACAAATGTAGTCCTAATGGGTTTCTTAAAAATTGATTGAATATAAAAAGACTCAGCCCTTCATCAGTAAGTGTTTCTGAGAAGCAAACTTGTAATGCATCATGTGAAATGAGTGTTATGTTTGTGTCATTTTTTAGTAAATAAGTGGATTTTCTTTGAAAGATTTCTATTTAACTTGTTAAATATTTTAGAGAATCTTGCAGCTATTTATCTGAGTTGTTTTCTCTTCCACAGCTAAGTTTTAAAAATTAAAAATAATTATTTGATGTCAGTAAGTTATTAATAATTTGGTGGGGATATGTGTCAATCTAATTCTGTTCTACAGTCTTAAAGAGCATCCCTGAGAGGGAGTTGATTCTTTTGCTAATTGAGTAGTTTACTCAAGTTAGTTGAATTTGTTTCAGATGATACTTGGTGCTGCATAACGTTACTGATATGTTGTGAAGAAAATTCTGTGTTATTTATTAAGTACTAAATGCAGATGAATTAGTTCCGTTTTGTGTAATCTGTGATTCACTTTACAGTGAAATTTATATGCACAATGGTGCATCAGCCTTAATTTGGGCCTGTGTTATCTCTCAATTTAAAAATAGCACCCTACTAATGAATTTTGAAAACCAAGAGTATTGTCTAACCTATCTGTTTACAGTCTTACCACGATGAGAAACTGTTGAATGGGTGGTCTTTGTTAAATACCTCAGTAGCCAAAGTTTTTACTGATGCCATAGGTTTTGAACATACAGTGGTTAAACAAGTGTAACCTAACATTACTGCAGAAGGTTGATTCTACTGACTTGAAAAAAGAAAGCAGAACTGAGATATAAAGTGATAAATATGAGGTAACAGGTGCTGGTTTAATTGGTTTGTAATTGAAAGTGTTTGTTCCAGTTGGTGGTTTCCTTACTTCTGTGCTTATTGGATTGGATAATGGCCTTGCCATTAAAGACTTTGCTGCAGCCTCTTCATGCTACAGGAGCAGAAAATGATAAGACCGAAAGATCCGTTCTTAACTGTATATATAAGGTACATGTTTCTTTACTCGCTTTCTACCTATGGAGGTAGTGTCAGTTTTCACTGAAATGAAATCAGAAGTTTTCTGTGAGCTGACTGCTGTTCTACTGCTGAAATGTGAAGTGCTGGCTTAGTTCTTGAACATTCCATTTTAACAGCTTGACCTTAGGTATATTTGGAATTGCTTGTTTTGTTTTACATTTTGGATGTTTAACCAAGACTTTTTTTTTTTTTATGTCATGTTGATTGCATATGCTTGTATTGTAGAAGACTAGCTATACATAAGACAAAAGGATGGAACTTATATACCAAGAAATTTAAGTTAGCAATCAGCAAAGCAAAAAGCACTAAGTTATTATTACTGTCTTTAGGAATACAGAAGAAAGATAGGTGTTTTTTGCTTTTTCGAAGGGAAGGGGATTAAAAGCTCTAGCAGCTTAGACCTAGCATATGTAATTAAAGAAGATAGGAGATCTAAAAATAAAGGTAGCTTAGTGATTTGTTGTAAGTTTTGTTTCTTTATTGTTAAATTCCACTTTGGTAGAGACACTGTTTTAATAATTTTCTTTGCAGACCAGCATCTAAAATTTTCCAACATTTGGTTTTCTCTACCTGGTTCTAACAAATCAGTTTAAAAAATGCAAATAAAAATAAACTCAATTTCTTATAAAACTATCAAGTAGAAATTTCAGTAGGTAATGTAATGAAATTCTGGTTTTGTTCTAGGTTCTGCATGGGTGTGTCTATGGATCTCAGTGTTTTAGCAACCCTAAATATTTTCCTCTTAGCCTTTCTGATCTGGCATGTATGGATTACGATCCTTTTATGCATTTAGAAAGCTTAAAGGAACCAGAACCACTGCATTCACCAGACTCTGAGAGATCTTCTAAACTTCAGCCAGTCACTGAAGGTTTGTCAAATTGCCTAAATACATTTTCTTTCAAAAAGATTTTATCTTGGTTTCCCATCTTGAAGCGTTGGTCTAAAGCATATGTTTTCAGCTATATTTAGACACCTGATAGGAACCATTAGTATGGAAAGAGCAAAAGTCATTTTGAGCAATTGCTGTTCGATTAACTCAAATAAGTATGTTTTAAACAACACTAAGGTCGATATGATATGGATTCTTCCATGCTCTGTTTATCAGCAAAAAGTGTTAAGTACTGCAACATGGATAAATGTAACATTGCATCTTAGTGTCAGTAAATTAATTTGTTTTTTTCTTAATTTTGCTTCTTTTTCTAAGAATATTTTGGATTCTTTTTACTATCTGAATTTGTAATATTGAATGCTTTCTGTGAATTTTTGTAGCCTATCATAATTTGTTGTCAATTTGTTTGCACAGGCTAAAATCACAGAGTTGTCTAAAAAGAGAGAAATATTCTCTCATTTGCTTAGAACCTTAGGAGACCTGGAAATTAACATTTCCTCAGAACTCAAAAAAAAAAAAATACAGAAACTATGCTACAGAGGAGTACCATATATTATGCAGTGTATCTAGTAAATACCAAATGGCTACATTGGGAAGAAAATTGAAAAAGATGAGATTAAGATATGAGAAACTCTGTGTAGTGCTATTCTCTCTCTGTATTAAGTTGTTCCTTTTAGGCTTCCTTAAGGGTATTAAGAACCAGATAAATGCAGCAGCTCTTTGTAGCAGCTGTGTGCTAACAGCAGGTGATTTTGTGGTCTGCAGTGACTACGTGCTGTTTTTTATGTAGAGAAAATGGCTAATCATTGTGCCCTTGTCTAAGGCATGCTTCATCATCCTCAAGTACTTTTTTGGCCAAAGAATTCTAAACATAGGGTTGTCCCCTAATAAGCTCAGTATTGGATTGAACAAGTCTGATTTGAGAACTATTGGCAGGAGGAGCTGTAATTATTAAATTTACTGAAGAATGAAGCAAGGTAATATAGTTGGCTTTTCGTCAAATGGCTGTGGTCTTATTAGTAAAACGTAATCATCTACTGGGTCAGAATGAAAGAGGCTTCGAAGTATTCATTCTGTCCTAATTACAGTCTCACCTATACATATTATGTAAAGCTAATATTTAAAGCATTTGCCAAAATTAACTTCCACTGCATGTTCTATTACAGTGTAGTGAATTGTAGTAGCTTTTTATGCCTGGCATCTTTTGTATTCTGTAATAATCTGTAATTATGGGTTAGCAGCAAATGCTGTGTGCCTTTTTTAATCTGGCAATCTGAAAAGACAACCCTGAATAGCTTTCTCTTTAAATGGATACAGTTGCACAAAGCCTTAGCATCGATATCTTCATTTTGCATTTCCGACCGTGATCTGTTCTTTTATGATTTCTTGTTAAATTTCTTAATAAATGTAATCTCAGATGCTCCTTTTATGTCTCCAGATAAATTAAGTTTCAGGGCTCTGGAATTATAAATCAGACTGTGAAACTTAATTGGCAGACTACAGTATTATAATGCAACCCTGGTCCTGCAACCTTGGCACTTCTAGTACCCATTGCCAGGCAGAGAATTAAACTGACAATGCTTGACCGATGGCACGGCATCTGTTCTCCCTGGCATTGTTAGAGGAGTGAGAGGAGTAAAACTAGTGGATAACAACCGGTCTGGGACTCAGTCAAGACAGAGGGTCAATTAGTACAAGCTATTGGCAGAGCAGTATGCCAATGGGTCAGCCTCTTTTAGTAAAGGAGTATAGTACCCTTTTTCTAAGAAATGAAAATGGGCAGGGCAGCAGTTGTAGGGAAATCAGGGAAGTTCTACAAAGGCAAGGTGGGAATTGCTAGACTCTTAGGTCACAAGTAAAACTGAAAGTGCCGATATGCCAGAATTTTAAAGACAGGGTGCTTTAATGGATGAAATCAATGTATCCTGTTATGCCTCCCATTGTTCAAGGTCAGATCCATCACAGGTTTTGTGGACACTTATCCACAGCATGATGAGGTATGAGACCATGAAGATATGGGACTTACAGTGACTTTGTAGTGGGGGCAGGTTCTATTGAGAGGCTGGAGCAAGCCATGCAATAAACAACAGGGCAAAGATTACTTAAGTCTGGAAACAGGCAATGTGGAGAAAGAAGATGACTATTGACCTCTTTTTTTCAGTAACTTGCAAGTTCTATCTCTCACAAGGAATCTCTTGTACCTAAGATTATCTGTGAAATTGTTCTCCTTTCTGTAGGCTTCAGGTAAAGTGGTAGATTTCAGTATAAGATACACAAATAATAACTTTGCAGTTAGGTGTTAAGCATATTAAACTGTTGTATTTAGACCAGAATGAACTTTTAGCAGCTGGCAGTAAAGACATCATTAGGAAGCTTCTACTGCATCATCAGAACTTGCAGACAGCAAGTCTGTGGTGCTTTCATACATCTAAGGAATCACTGGCCTTGTTTACATGAAAGCTGATGAACTGTTCCTCTAGCTAGTGTCAACAACAACGTACTCTAGCTACAGTACAGGCATACAATTGCTGTCTGTGTGGTTTGACCCTGGCTGGATGCCAGCTTCCCACCAGAGCTGCTCCATTACTCCCCCCAGAAGAGGGGAAAGAAAATATAATGAAAGGCTCATGGGTCAAGATAAAGATGGGGAGAGACCACTCACCAATTACCGTCACAGGCAAAACAGGTTCGACTTGTGGAAATTAATTGAATTTTTTAACAAGCAAATCAGGATAGGATAATGAGAAATAAAGCCAAATCTTATAACACCTTACGCTTACCCCTCCCTCCTTCCAGGGCCTAACTTTATCATGAATCTCTGCCTCCTCCTTACCATGGTGCAGGGGGGATGGGTTCTGGGGTCCTGCAGTCAGTTCATCACATGTTGCCTTTGCCACTCCTGCCTCCACAGGGGAAGAACTCCTCATACTCTTCCCCTGCTCTAGCATGGGATTCCTCACACAGGAGACAATCCTCCATGAACTTCTTCAACATGAGTCATTTCCACAGGCTGCAGTTCTTCATGAACTGCTCCAGCGTGGGTCCTTTCCATGTGGTTTAGTCCTTCAGGCACAGGCTGCTCCAGCATAGGTCCCCCACTGGGTCACAAGTCCTGCCAGCAAAGTCCTGCTCCAGCATGGTCTTCTTGCTACAAAGCACCACCATTCCTGCCAGGAATCTGCTTCAGTGTGGGCTTTCCACAGGGTCACAGCCTCCTTTGGGCATCCATCTACTCCAACGTGGAGTCCAAGGTGGGCTGCATATGGGTATCTGTTCCACTGTGAACTCCCATGGGCTGCAGGGGCACATCCTGCTTCACCATAATCTATACCGTGGGCTGCAGGGGAATCTCTGCTCCAGTGGCTGGAGCACCTTCTCCTCCTCCTCCTTCGTCTTCACTGACCTCAGTGTCTGTAGAGTTGTTTCTCTCACATATTCTCACTCTGCTTTTCTCTGGCTGAAATTTGCTACTGCCCAATAACCTTTTTACCTTCTTAACTATGTTATTTCAGAGGCATTACTACCATTGGTGATTGTTTTGGCTTGGAAAGCAGCAGGTCCAACGTGGAGCTGGCTGGCATTGGCTTCATCAGATAGAGAAGTCACCCTTGTAGCCAAACCACTACCAAACCTTGCCACGCAAACCCACTGCATTAATTAACTGCACCTTATTCATAAGCTAACATGGACTGCATAGTGCCATGATCTGTTAACCCACTTCTGAACTTTTACTTTTCATTTCAGGACCATAAACATATGTGAGAATTTTTATGCAATTACAGGCAAAACCATTTTGAAACTTGTTCTTCACAGATTTCAAATCTGTTAGAGATAGTTGTGACTGGAAAATAGTAGTAACATTACGTAGACACAGTCGTCTATCAGTTATTGATTGACTTTTCCCCCTATTACTCATATTTCTTCAGACATATTTTAAACTCTTTTACATAGACTGATCTTTTTTCCTAATGTTTTTCTATGTATTTCTATGTTTTTCTAGTGTATTTCTAATGAAAAGATTTTCCCCACATGATGTTAAGTCTCTCTTTATTTAAGAAATAGAAAATACTTTTCTTTTAAGTCCTTGCTGTTTGCCTTTTTACTGAAAGGAGACGGAAAGCACACTTAAAAAACATACTTTATGCATAGTGCATCCAGATTAGCACAGTTTGAGTTTTGTGGATGCTATTCTAGAGATGGGTCCTCTCTAATCACATATCTATATAGCTGAAGTTTAAAATTAGGAAGAAATGAGACTTACTTAGACTAATGTAAAATACAGGTAACTAAGCTAAGTGGAATACTCTCAGGCTCCCTCTAAATAAAGAAAAAAGAAGAGTCTTCAGAGTGTGATTCATCCCATTGCTCCAGTTTAAGGTGAATCAGTCTGTACAGGTGCATCATTCTTTGGATGGCTAAAAGGATGAGGAGAGCTAAATTCCATCCTTGGTCATTACTTTTTCCTTCTACTGCATAACCGTAGTCGTTTCTAAACAGTTCAGCCAAAGCTGAATTAAAGAGTTAACAACACATCTTAAGGAAATTCAGGTATCCTTCAGTCGTGCCACAAATACAAATTAGTGGTGATGGACCTTCAGCCCTTGCACAAAAAGTAATTTCAGGGACTGAGAAAAATAGACAATATAACATACATCTAGTAAATTACCAAGTGATCATGTACACATATAAATTACACTGCCCAAGCCCGAGGCAGTAGCATTGTAAAGAGAGTAGTGATGTGTTTACTCAGGAAGACAGGTCAACAAAGCAGCGAGCAAAGACTGCCTTAACGTGTAACAATGTGACTTAGTTTTTAGAATTTGTGGTAAAGCTGTGATGGCTTGCATATTGCATATTTTGACCTGCCCTCCAGAGCATGGTTGAGATATTCATTTTAACAGTTTTAATATGTTGAATGTCCAGTTGTTCCTGATTGAGGACATGTGCTTCTAGGAATAAATTTAACTTAAAATTCTCTGTTTTTCAAAAAGCATTACTGGGCTTGGAGCTTGTTGGTTTTGTTTTTGTTTTTTTTTTAATTCCTAAGGGAAACCATCAGCAAAATCTGATTTGATGTGTATCAAAAATGTTTCAAAATTGCCTAATTTTCTTTATTTTATTTCAAGGTAACAGGTTGCATCTTACAATTTACTTTTCAATATGCTTAATACTTCTAATTTAAGTTTTCTATGTCATTTTTATATCAACAGTACTGTATTCTGAGAGAAGTCTCAGAAGTACTGTTCTCATTTTATAAAAGAGGCAATGACAGATTTATGACTTTAATTCAAGGCCAAAGTTATCAGAAAAAGGCTGTGTTAGAACTGAGGATGGACCTTCTGAACTTAAATTCATTGTTCCACTCTTTATATCACTCTATCACCTTCCTTTTCCGTATGTTCCTTAGGCTCCCAAGGGAGTCAGGTCAAGCACACAGGCACTAAACAACCACGGTCAGGTTTGAGATTTTTAGGGTTTGGCCCACAGCAGTAATAGTAACAACATATGCTGAAAGGTCCCTCATATTTCTTCAGGTTTCTCAGCAGGACTTAACAGGAGGCATTTAACCTACATAGTGTGGGACTGCAGGTAATATCTGGAAAGCTTACGTGCGTTTACTCCTAGGAAACTGAGAAAAGTATTACTTTACTTATCTGTGCAGTGCCAAATGCTAAATTCTTGGCATAAATATTCTGATAGAGATGGGCAAGCCTCTGCACTGTCCAGGCACTAGTAAATACTGTGCTGAACATTTTTCTTCAAGCAGCCAACTTACTTGCTCTTTGTCTTATGTAAAACTTGCTTCCAGTTCCTTCTTATATTTCAGCAGATGGCACTATAACTTAATTTCCTTGTATGCTTTCAATATCTGGACATTTAATTCAGCATCACTGAATATTTTTGTGTTCGTAAATTTTAAACATCAAGAAGGCTATAGATAATAAAAATGAAATATCTAATTTGTTTAAAGTAATTTTCAAGGCCTTCATTTATTAAAATATTTTAGTAGATATGAGTTTTTGAATTGTGTAAATATTATGTTGATTTTTACAACTATTAACTGGATGAAATGTTTTCCTTTTTGCTGTTCAGATCTAGGGCTTCCTAAAGGTAGAGAAGAACCAGAATCCCAGACATCTCTTACATGCTGTACCCAAGCCTTGTGGGAAAAAAAAAAAAGGCAAATATATACTAACGCTTTATTTTTGCAGATGCAGAATGCATCTATCTTCAGAAACTGAAGATCTGTAATGGCAGTCAGTATGCAATTCAAATTTACCCTAATTTTTACGATTAAACCAATTAAAACATCTTATACTGCAAAAATAAATTTGTTTATTAAACATTAGGTGTTGTTCCATATAGAGGGAGGTGAGTTAATTATACTTTACTTACACATCAAAGAGGTTACATTTTCTCAGTAAAAACTGAGTGAAAAAGTTACATCATTCAGAACGTTCTGGTTTGATGGACTTTTAGTGATAAAGATGGGAAGTGTTTGCAGCAGTTTTCAATGTTTAGAGTAGTTTAAACACAGGATGTAATCCTGAGGAACACAACTTGTTTTATCTTCACGTTGTAAATCCCAAATTTAGGGCATCCAAGCCCAGTTACAAGATGGAGGCTACAGAAACACGTACTTTGCCATACTGATCTTGTTCCCTCTTCTACCTGTGTTCTCCTACAGTGTAATATTTTTATGTCTGGGTTCTTCAGTGGGTCCCCTGAACCAGATGAGGGTTGTCTGTCTGACAGTGTCACTTTGACTGGCTCTGTACATCATGGGTAATGTAGGGTGCATTTGATAAAAATAATTCAATAACAATATTGTACTGGGCTAGCAGGATGTGATATAAACATTAAGAAATTCTTTTTGTGAATTTAGATGGCATAACATGCAAGTGGAATATATGCAACAAAGAAGGCAGTGGGAAAAACTGGTATTGAAATACCAGTGCATTTTGCAGGATGAATTTCACATAAGATGGGCAAAATTAATTTGTCTTTCTCCCTTGCAAGGTTTTCTAGTCTGAAACTTCTTAAAATGCAGTTGTGGCATGAGACTTGCTTTTTGAAAATTTTGCTAATGTTAAATTCTGTTCAATATAGACAACTTGGTCTTTGCTTTTGTACTCTAAAATCATCCAGTATTATTCTCGAGCTAACTACAGCTACATGCTCCCCAGGGAAATTAAGATGGATTAGACCTTTTGTGCATCCATGTTCCTTTGTATTTCTCAATGTAATGATGTGTAAAAATATAAAAATACGCTGCAGTTGGAATGGACACCTTGCAACACAGTTATGATTTCTACTTCATCAGCAATTAAAGATTTATTTTCACTAGATAAGACGTTGTGTATTTTAAAAGAACAGTGCTGATAACAAAGCTATGGCCAAGGAGGTATGGTAGGCTGTAAAATAATGAAGATGCTTCTTTAACTATCTTATGATTTTTCATGATATTTATATAGAAGACCAGTCTTCATCGAAATATGTGTTTTCTGTTACTGAGTTAGATGTATCCTAAGGTTGCAGTGCTCATCCTCTGTTTAAAACTCATGAAGAGGAGACCAAAAGAAATAAGTAAATCTCAGCCTTGTTTTCTGAATTTTTCTTTTAAAACCTGTGCTCTTTCTTTTACAGTGAAAACTCATATGCAACAAGGATTAATTTCTGTTGCTGCTCGTACTGTGATAACACATCTAGTCAACCACTTAGGCCACTATCCTATGAGTGGAGGTCCTGCTATGCTAACCAGTCAAGTGTGTGAAAACAATGACAATCCATACAGTGAAAGTCCTGAGCTTTCTCCTGAACTTTTTGAGAACCCAAATCTTCAATTTTTTGTGTTAAACAATACTTCCTTGGTGTCTTGCATACAAATCCAAGCAGAAGATGACATGCCTGGGGGAGGACTGTCTGCTGGACTAGCATCTGCTAATTCAAATGTTAGAATTATAGTGCGTGATCTCTCTGGCAAATACTCATGGGATTCAGCCATTTTGTATGGACCATCATCTTTATGTGGGTCTTCACAACAAACATCTTTTGCACTTTCATTATCTCAGCAAGATAAACCAGAAGATGCTCTTTCATCTTTTGAGCATGTGGAGGATGTATCTGCAAGGGATGGAATTACACTCCAAGTAAAAAGGAAATTTAGAGACAGTGTACCAACATGGGATACAATTAGGGATGAAGAAGATGCCCTTGATGAACTCCTGCAGTATTTAGGTGTTACAAGCCCTGAATGCCTACAGAGAACTGGTGTCTCACTCAATATCCCTGCTCCCCAACCAGTCTGCATCTCAGAGAAACAGGAGAACAATGTCATCAATGCAATTCTGAAACAGCACACAGAGGAGAGAGAGTTTGTTGAAAAGCATTTCAATGATGTAAATATGAGGGCTATGGAGCAGGATGAGCCAACCTCACAAAAGTCCCAGTCAGCATTTTACTACTGCAGATTACTTCTGAGTATACTGGGAATGAATTCATGGGATAAAAGGTAAAAAGACTCACAAATTAAGAACTTTCTTTTAAGTAATTGGGCTATTCTTGCCATTTAATAGTAGTTGATCATAGAGTTTGTTAAGCCAAAAATACTCAGACCAGCTAATAAAAGAAGAGAACAGATAGGCTACTATGGGCAAAAGGGCAGCTTTCTTCTGCATTTCAATCTGTCATTTAGAGAGACAGCATTTGAAGGCAAATTGAAGAAGTGATGTATTTTCTTTACTTCCTATGCATGTTCCTACAAAAATCGTTACCTTTCTATGCCAGAATAAGTCTCAGAAAGTGTCGTGTTCTCAGCTATTGTGTCGCTGGACAGTATCCTGCAGCTCTGTCTGTGAAGAGCATGCTTGCATGCAGCCTCAGAGCATTGCATTTGTGTTAGCTAACGAGAAAGATGTGTTCACTACTAAGTATTCCAACATTGGCCATGCTTGGGTATTGTTTGGGTATTGTTTAGAACAACAGGAGAGAAGCCATGTTCAGTTACAAAAATAATGTCTCTGTATACATTATTATTTTTGTGTGGGTGTGGTTAGGTGCATGTCTGCATTTATATGTGGGTATGTACAAATATTAACATCTTGGAATTTATGGGTCTTTATGAAGTCTTCTTTTGCCATTGCTGTCAAATTCCGTATTAGAGTTATTGAAATATTTTCTTACTATGAAGGGAAATGGATATTCTGTAAAAGAGAAATAATCTGCGTCTCTGAGATATCACTGGAATCGGACAAAACTTTGGTGTTACAAGCCTTCTTATTTGGATCTTTAATTCCTCAAGGCGGTCTGGTTTTGAACAGTACTGCTGTTAGGCTCATTCCACTGTGTTTTGTGGGAAACATTTTAAGCCCAGTTGAAAATAAATGAAAACTGCCTTTCTTGCTCTAACATACTGCTTTGTTTTTTTCTTAAATTGTTGCAGCTGGCTGGGTGACTACTGAGTTATGCTCTGCCCTCTTCTGCAATTCAGAATAACAAAAGCTCTGTGTTTAATGCACTAACTCCCTATAACAGTAGATTAATGGGAGTGTCTTCTGTCACTAAGCATATATATTATGGCCTAGTAAAGTGTGGCAGCTTATATATGTGTCAGAGAGAGTTCTGTCTGTTACTCTGTAGAGAAGAGATGGATCCCAGTTGGATCCAATAGGCTGACAAAAGAAAATGGAAAGAAGTAAAGATTGTAGTCATAGCTATAATATTGAAGATTTATGTAGAATATGGAAGAGTTTCTGGAGTAAGAAAAATTGCATGTATATTTTTTTTTTAAGATATCTTAATTTTAAAATATTTAAGAAAGGACTGTTGAAAAGGCAAAAGCATTTGTTGACTGTTCTTGAATGGACCTGGAAATGTTCTTGTACTGTTCTGTATCCATTGGTGAACAGATGATAAAAGAGTTACAAATTTCTCTTATGTAGAAGGAGCTTTCATCTCCTGAAGAAAAATGAGAAGTTACTTCGAGAACTGAGAAATTTGGATTCAAGACAATGGTAAATTCTTTTAATGACTGCCTACTTATTTAAGTGTGCCTTTATCCAAGTGGTTCTAATTGCATAGATGTGAGAGTTGAGCTGTATTTTTTAATAATTTTTTGAATTATTAATGTATTTTACACTGTATTGTTGTTATTTGTGTTATATTGAATTTGCATTGGTGTTATTTGTAGAGTGAAATTCTGCAAGTAGAATACTATGAGATAAACAAATTTCAAAGTTACTTATGAGTATTTGTATATGCACAGTATTGAATAGTTTTAAAACTTTGGTAGATCAAAGTCTCCACATTTTAAGCTTTGGTTAATTGTTTAGCTATGTTCTAACACTGCTGGTATTTGAAAACAAAGAACTCTAGTTGGAATTGGAGCACAGAATTAAAAACTGAGTTATTTTTTTAGAAGTTGAAATTGAATCCAGTGGAGGTTTTAGAAGTGTGAGAAACTACCTTCTGTTGCTCCAATATCTAACAGCAAGCTGCACACAGAAGACATTGCTATTTGCTTAAAGATTCTTTATTCAGTTGCATAAGCTGCAGTTACCACAGCGTTCCAAAGGCACTGTTGATGGACAGTGCAGTGTGGATAATGCCTGCGTTGCATTTGCCCACTTCAAAGGTCCAGCTATTTCATTAACAATTGGTAGAGCCAGCACCATCTTGCATCTTAGAAGTGATGAAAGGGGTAAATGCTGCTCAGTTACAGCAAAACTTTAGTCTCTAGGGAAGATGAGAGTCTTTAGTCTCTAGAAAAGACAGAATGGATATATGAAAATATAGAGTATCCAAAAGAAACCATATAGTTGCACTTTAGGTCCACTATGTACTTTTTATGCTTTAAGAGCCATGCTCTGTCTGTATTGTTTGAATATTTTGGTTTCATATTAGTAAAGGCACTGTTATGCAATGACTATTCTCTGTTTTACAGCCGAGAGACACACAAGATTGCAGTGTTTTATGTTGCTGAGGGACAGGAAGATAAACACTCCATTCTTACGAATACTGGGGGAAGTCAAGCCTATGAGGATTTTGTTGCTGGTCTGGGCTGGGAGGTATTCCTTAAAATGTTTTTATCCTAGGTTTGATTACAGATAAAATTACAAATCCCTTTATGTATTGAGTCTTTGGCTCTTCAGCATTACTCACAAGTACTGAAATACACTTGTTTGAAAATGGAATGTAGAGAAGAATTACTGTTCTAATTTCATTAGCAATACTAGCTATTTAAGATCTTAAAATTTAAGAAAGTTTGTGCAGGCATTCTTTAATGAGCAGTCCTATTCTTGAATTTCAGGGACTGATTAGGAGGCATCTTGATTTCCCTGTAAGCTTGTAAAGTGTTAAGTCCATTGAAGTTTGAGCTTTACTCAATTTTGGGACTCCAAAAAAGTACAAACAAGCAGCTTTTCACATACTCCCTCCTTCCTGCATGCCTGGAGGCATGTATCAGTTCACGCACTCCACCCTACTTCTCTTCCAGCAGTCAGAAATAATGTGATATATCCCATCATCTGTGTGGACCTGCAGCTCTTTAGTCACTTGTTTGATACTGTTACAAGGATTTCCTTTTTTGCATCCTTTCTTTCAGACCATACAGGTTTAATTACCACTGTAAAATTCTATTTGGCACTGTTGCAGGGAATACAGTAATGGCTTTTGCTCCTGGCTGGCTCCGTAAGAAGCTGCAGGTTTTTTGTTCCTCTTGTAACTTGTGCTCATCAGGAGTGTCCACATGAGTGTTTGTCTTGTTTGTTCTTTGTCCCTTAGGTATATAAGAGTATATGTTTCTTTACTCCTTAGGTATATAAGAGCACTACCAGATTAACTGTGTGGATAATGACTCTGACTTTTACACAGGGACAGAAGAAAACTGGTAGAAATCTGCTGACTGTCATGAACATAGATGTTTATTTCCCACATTTGGGAGAAAACAAAAGCACATTAGTACCTTGAAATATCCTTCTTTGGTGATTTAATTCTCTTAGGCATTATTAGATAGTTTAAAGATTTGGTAATTTGGATTGATATTCCATAATGAGACAGCTAATATTTTAATATTTTAGCATTAAATTCTAGATCTTTTAGTATCAGAAAAACAAATATATCCCATGTGGGCAAAGATTAAATGTATTCATATATATATATAAAAATATATATTATATATATTACAAGTATATATCCGTGATATAACTTCCTGTTGTCACTGTTTTAAAAGTAAACCAGCATGCTCATTTATTTCAGTGCCAGACTATTCCCCACAGAACTAAGACATACAAACTTACTTACAAATTATCAGTTACTTTCCTGAGATTTTTTTTTTTTTCATATTCGCAGAATGAAAATTTCTAAAAAAAAATATATGAAAGGTAACAAGACAATGTAAAATTGTCTGGCTCTCATACAGAGTTGCTTCAGAGCTCAGGTCAGGATTGATATAGTATCACAGAATTTTAAAAAAATTCAAAAAACACACATAAGTGACTACACTCAAGTGATCAGGGAATAATGCAGTAAATATTTACACAGCCTTTCCTCTTCTCTAACCTCATCTTCCCTGCAGCTTCTCTGGTGACCATGGAATATAGAATGCTACTGCACTGCAGTTGATTTCCAGTCTAGTCAGTGAGTCTGAGCTCTTTCAGAAAAAGCATAACTGTACTGCTGTGAAAAGAATCTTCACTTTAAAAGTTCAGTTGAAAGTGCATTTTAAAGCATAAAGAGTGTATTTATCACCTGATAATTTTTTTTCTTGTAAAGTTTCTTGGACTTTATTTCTAGGTAAATCTCACAAATCATTGTGGCTTTATGGGAGGATTACAAAAAAACAAAAGCACTGGATTGACCACTCCATATTTTGCTACCTCAACAGTAGAAGTAATGTTCCATGTGTCAACAAGAATGCCTTCTGATTCAGATGACTCTTTAACAAAAAAGGTGAGTGTCTCTAAATAACAGTTTCCCTGGGTAATAAACCCAAAGCAATTAGAGTCAAAGAAAATCCAGTAACTTAAAAAAAATCCAAAACATAAAATATCATAACATCTTTACCTACTAAAAATTGGTATTTTACTGAGGTAGCTCAAGCTGTATAGATTATTCTCTACCAATTCTTATTTTACCATACCGGTGATTTTTGCTGTCATTGCAGCTGTTGTCAGGAACATATGTAAAGTGGGGAAAAGTGCAGGGAGGTAATGGTTGGTGTAGAAGAAAAAGCATTACATCTGAATGATGTCTTAGTACTTTGAGACTTTAAATGGCAGTTAATAAATATGTGATGAGTACTTTCGAACATGACTTTTATTTCACTTAAGGGTTATGTTCTGGCTATTAAAATCATTTTCCCTTTAAAAAAATAGTTACAAATATTAAGACAATATTTATTGCGTATAAGGTGTTTTGTCTTGGAGCAGACACAAATGCTCAACAGTGATATGATCTCTTATAGCTGCATTAAGAAAAAAAGGGGTTTCTGTATTGGTATTTTTTTTTTTTTAGAATTTAATAAATTCCACATTAGTGATAATAAGTTACAGTCTCGAACATGTGTCCTATTATAAATGAACAATTAGCTATCATTAGACTGTCCCCCCGTCCTGCATACATACATCTTCAGATGTGCTAATCCATTCAGTAGACACGTTAATGAGCACTGGTTGAAGTGTAATATTGAAGGAACTGAAGCTGGTTGACCTCAGCATGGAGTTTAATACTTGTAATTAAATTAGACAGTAGACAGTTAGTAAAGAGAGAAATAGCCATGCCTCTGGCAAGCTTCAATTATTAAAGACTTTTTTGTTCTTTGTGTTCCACTCGAAGAAAAAAATATTATTGTTCTTATTATAGACTGAGTTCTAAATTCTCACTGTTGCATCTTAGGTTGGTTTGGTTGGTGTGGGGTGTTTTTTAATTAAAAATGGTTTTGCTTGTATGCTTAAGATGGTGCACCCTTTCTGTTCTTTATTTCCTGAAGTAAAACCAGGGCAGTACTTAGGTTTAATAGCAAAAATAACTAATTTTAAAAGAAGATTGTTGCTACTGTTTCAGTATAGAACAAGTTGTATTTTTGTTTCTAGGTGACTGGCTTCTTTATTTTCTTAAACAGAAACTGGGTTTTATAAAACACAACTTATATTATCCTTATAATGTTTGTTTATAATCTGTTTGAATTAGAGCATTACAAAGCACTGACAAGGGGAAGGATGGGTCAGAGTGAAAAATAATTAATAATGATTAATTTGAAAATGCTGTGAACTTCAGCAAGATCTCATGTCTGTTTCTAGGAGCATGTCAGGAATGAATGTTTTAGATTGCTCAAAGAATCACCAGCAAAAGCATTGGTAAAAGCAGGTTTAATATTAAAATGAAAGTGCGACAAAGTTCATTGGCAACCCCTTGCCAAACTTAGCCACAGATTTGAACAATGGTTTAGGCCTAAAGGTTTTAACAGCACTTAAGCAACAGCCTAATTTAAATTAATTTAACAAAAGATTCCATAGAAATAACTATAAGCAGTATAAACAGTAATTCACTTATAGACCTACTTACTTACGAATCTAAGAGAGCAGCATTCATAGCACATTTGCTACAGCATATTCACAGTCACACTCACACAGACCTAGAGCAGTATGTACAAGGTATATACCTGTGAAAAATGCTCCTCGAGTTCAGTGTTCACGTTGGATGCCTTTGCATTTTCTCAGCAGGTGAAGGGTTGATCCTTGAGGAGTGGGATATCAACCAAGGCCCTGTTGGTGGCCATCCGCTGAGAGTAGCAAGCTTAAGAGTTCACTGGCTCTGAGACATGTCCCACTCAGAGGGAGATTGCTGTCTGCAGCCCACTGGTGGTCCGGGGGAGCTCTAAGGGTCTCTCTTAGGATTGCTGTTTATGGGGTTACAATTGAGTTGACTTTAGTCATAGTAATTTTCCATCCTGTCCACAATTCGGTTTAGTCACTGTCTTTGAAAGTTCAATTACAAAAATGTTGTTCCACCCGAGTCATTATTCAGGGAAGAAAAGTAAGTTTCCAAGGCTGTTTGTTAAAGAAAAGGAGCTTGTTAGACAGCATAAGTTTCTGGTACCAGGCAGTGTTTCTTATAAGCTCAAGAGGAGCTTAGCCCAGGTTAGGCCTAATGAGCACTTTTAAGATGATAGTGTAGCCCAGGGAGAGGGGAGGGAGGGATGTACCACCACAGAACACCCTGAATCTACACATAGCTGTTCCTGCCAGGCAAGGTTAAGTGCTGGTCCAGACCTACTGTGACTCAACTTGTGAAAACTGTGTCATATGGACTTTTTAACAACTCAAGCTTACCCCAGGCCCAATTCTCTCCTCCCCTACCCACAGTCTCACTCATCAGTAATTGGGAATATTTGAGGTCTGTATGGATATAATCCCCAAAGATTGGGATTATATTTGGGGCTCAGCTACTGATCAATTGTTTATTTAAGCTATTTTATTTCTCTGTGACTTTCTTTCCCAAGAATGGAGGCCTGTGAGCCTCTTTTCATCTCTCTCCACCTTTCCTAACACTTTTTGGCCCATTCTAATCAATTCTGATAGAGATATGTTTCAAAGCTGTTCATTTCATGTGTGTTTAACGATGAAAGGCTAAGTAAAGGAGATAGAGGGAGTGAGACTTTTAGCACTTCTACTCAGCAAGTAAAGTCTGCATGGGAAGAAGCAGTAGATATCAAGGAACCAGCACCAGAGAGATGTTATGAAATTCATCGTGAACTTGAGAAAAGCATCAAATGAAGTTTACGTCTTGGAAGGGACCAGCAAGTCGTATCAGGAGACATGAGTAGGAATACAGTCTTAATTCATATACTGGTTATGTAACTACTCGTGATGCTTGGACTGAACACATCAGCAAAAGGAATGTGTTTTATGAAATCCTGGTTAGCTCACACACACTATCAAAATTATTTGAGAACCATGTGAGTGCTAAGAATGGTAATTATTCTGAGTGCATGTAGTGTTCGTGACCTCCAGAGAAACTTGAGATTTAAGCTTCTCTGCAGGTCTTTCATGTGATTTTTTTGTCTGTTTTATTCAATGGGAGAAAAACAAGCAAACTTGCAGTAGCTGGCTTTGAAGTGCTGCTGGTTTTTATTTTGTAAATGTGCCTAGAGGTACATGATAGGTTCATCTTATAAATGGAAAATAAATTAAATTAAAGCAAAACTTCTTCCTGCCAGTTGAGCCACTGCAAAATCAAGATTCTGCTGTTTCAGGGGCTAAACCATTTTTAAACTTATTTTCCATCAGTCTTACAGAGTAGTAAATAAAACTTTAAAGAGTCTTATACCTCTGAAGTATTTGTTTCTGAAGATGTGAACAAGAGCAAGAAAAGATGTGAATTCAAGAACTCATGAAAATCTTCTGAATGCATAAAGGAACTTAACATTCAAATGCATATATAAAATCAGTATTTGATTTGCAAATAGTAAATTAAAGGTTTGATGCTGATAATGCAATCTGTTCTGGTTTTTTTATAATTAAAGGTTGGAGTAAAAAGTATTTACTCAGTTAACAGAATGAGGAAACTCATTTATGTGCCTCTACAGCCTATCTCACCTGTCTAGTTCCTCCTTCCTTAGGAGGGTCTTCCTAGTGGAGTGAAGGCATTGTGAGCTATTATACACCTATTATGTAAATTAAAAGTAGTAATGTTACTAATGATTGATATACTAATTCATCTTGAGCTTTTGGTGTATTATGCTATTCTAAGTTGTGTGTGACATCATCCTAACCACATAAAAGGTTCACAGCTCCTGACATTTATAGCTGGGGGGGGTTATTGTGTTATTAACATGTAATGGGAACTTGAAGGTTTATAGTTGTAAATTATTAGTAGAGTATGTTTTTGAGTTACAATTGGATACACATGTTGCTTAAAAAAAACTCAACCAGACAAGAAACCCAAACACACCATAGTTATTGAGACAAAGTTTTGTGAAAAATTCATCTAGAGAGTACATACTCTATAGACAGTGTGCTGCTTACATTTAATGGACAAAAGGAGCTGCATTAAGCCTTTACTTCAGACATCTCTGCTCCTTCTGTTCTTTTTATAATAAACACTTTCATTTTTGAAGAAGAAAAAAGTTGAGGCTAGCTGTTGTATCATAAGAAAATATAATAGTCTTTTTTCTCCCTCCTTTAGGTAAGTGGGTATTAGAAATTACAGTAATTTTGGCAAGAGTTCAAGGGTTAATGCAACAGATAAATAAAAGGAATTTTCTGTAAATTGAGCCCTGCATTATTTCACTTGTCTTGCCTTTCGAAACCTAACTCATTTAATTTTAAAAAGTAAATACTTAAATTCTTCCTGACAGTGTGCTTTGCTTTTACTATCGTTTATTACTTCAATTATACTTGGTATCACTTAGAACAATCTGCCATTTGGAAATTTCAGTATAGCCTGCAGCTTCGTATTAAGTCTGGCTGCTATTGTAACATGTACAGCATATGACACTAATGTATCAAAATTAGATTTGATCATCCCTCCTGGTTATATTTATTTCACATTTCTTTTGTATTCAGTTAACATAAATGTATTAGGAGAGCTGACACATGATGATGGCTATAGAGTAAGAATATTTTAAAGTATTTTGAGTTAAATTTGAAATTTCAGGTAACCTAACAGTCGGTCATTTTTATATATTTGCTCTAATGGAGTAGAGTTTCAAAGTTAGCCTAAAAAAATCTGTTTGTCTCTGGTATCTCCTCAGGGCAGTCTTCCCGACAACGCAGGTTTAAAATGTCTAAAACAGAGCTCTTAATCTCTTTCTCATTGCCACCTTTCCAGATCACCACAGATAACATGACCATTGTGGCTGTCACTTGTGCCCATAGCCTGAAATCATCTTTAATTTGGTCCACTTTCTGGATTCTTACATTCAGTCTGTGCTTAAGACTCTTCTATTT